GGAGCGTCTCCGTACAGTGCCAAGCCCACCTGCACTTTACCAGGACCAATGTCCAGGTTCTGGATGACATTTCTGAGAAACGTGCGGACTATCCTGAAGTTTTCCTCGCCGATGCTACCGGAGCTGTCCACTAGGAAGACGATGTCCCCCGATGTGGCGTTTTCACACTCTAGAAAGAAAGATCAATGTGATGAAAGATGGTTGGTTTAGAGAAACAAACCAAGCTTTAGGAGCTGGAATATCACCGGGAGGAGAATCTCCTCACACGTTATTACAGTGAGGAAAACCTCCGGCAGCCGGCGCCGCTCCAGCCACAGGCCTTTCAGAGCAGCGCTGGAGGAGGGTCGGTCAGGTCAAAGGTCATCTTCCTCACCAGTAAGTTCTTTTCTAATATCAAGTGTCGGCTGAGCAGAGACCGCCCAGAACCCGGCGGCGGCGGTGATGATGAGGACCACGGCCTCCCTCATGGCGGATGCTTGGTGGTTTCACTTCCTGCAGAAAACAGTCAGTGAGGATCTGGACTGAAGATCAACAGGTTCTATCAAAAAGCAGAAAAATATCATCTGGTCAGACCTTCTGCTTAACGACCTCTAGATGACCCTGCTTTGGTTTCCATTGTCTCCAATCCTCATTTCTTTCAAACGTCTATAAATCTTGGAGGCTGTGATATTTTAATTCTGCTCTTAGTTTCCTGCTTCACCTCAGCAGGGTCGGTTCTGACAGCCAACAGGTTGGTTGGACTCAGAGCAGAGACAAAGAGAACCAGCAGCTGCAGGTGGAGCAGATGTTCTGGTTCTGATAGAACCGGGTCGACCGGACCATCAGGAGGTCCAGGCCCAGGTGTTTGGTGTCTCCTGATCTCTGCATCGTGTTTGTTAATCATCTCTAATTTACTTGTTTCCAAGTCAGGATGAATCAAACAGACAGGAAGCAAAGTTCAGTGAAAACATCAAATCTTTTCAAAATAAGAGCGACGTATCAAACCACATCCGTCCTCAGAAAGAGATTCCTGGTAAAATCAGGAACATTTGAGACAAACATTGCCTGATTCTGCCGCTGCGCTGGGCGGGCCGGCCCAAGGTAGAAGCAAACCAAGCGGCCGGTGAGGGTCACTGGGTGACTGACCCAGTTCTTCATAACGTTTGATAATAATTAAAACTTCTCAATGTTTGGAAATGTTGTTCCTTCATCAACACGAGCGGTTTAAAGCCGTTTGCTACGGATAATTTATCTGTCTGAAACAAACATTTTTACATCAACATCTTAGTGATGTGAAACTTCTTTTAAAATGTCCTGAAGGCTCAGAATCAGCCCGGTACCAGTACCGGTACTGGTACCAGAACCGGTACTGGTACCAGAACCGGTACCGCTCTACAAAAGGTGAGAAAGACTCACCTGCTATACATCACATTTTTAGCTCCTGTATTTACGCCTGAGAGAAATGAATTGAACCACAGAATGTCATGAATGCGTTTCTATATTCCAGCTGGCTGCACCGATCGCAGGTGAGTGAAGAATCTCATCATCAGATTTCTGTCGGTTCACATGAGCAGAAATAAAACGCCCCAAAACAGGAAACATTCCAGAGACCAGCAGGAACGACAAGAAACCTGAGCAGGAGAAACGCGAATCTGACTGCTGATCACCGAAACCTGCAAACCAATCAGTTATCTGTCAGGCAGCAACTGAAACTCATCCTGCAGGTCAAAGGTCAGACAGAAGGTACTCACAGTCGAGCTGCTGCATCAGAACCAGCTGCGTTCCTCTGGCACAGAGCTGCAGCACTGAGACTGGGTGAGAGGAGGATGAGGGGAAGGATGAAGGAGGCGGGGTTTAGGCTGCAGGGGTGGGGCCAGGCTGCAGGGGCCCAGGCTGCAGGGGCGGGGCACAGGCTGCAGGGGCGGGGCCCAGGCTGCAGGGGCCCAGGCTGCAGGGGCGGGGCCCAGGCTGCAGGGGCCCAGGCTGCAGGGGCGGGGTCCAGGCTGCAGGGGCCCAGGCTCTGTTCTGATCCCCCAGGGATCCTGCAGCGGTCAGCTGGGCTGCCTGCAGTTGTTAATGAAGCTGGACAGAAACGGCTCCACACGTCCTGATTGGACGGCTCCGTAGTGAGGCGTCATGGCGGCGTCTCTGCCTCCGACCCGTCGGTTCTGTCTGCAGGAGCGTTGATCAGGTTTCCTGCTGCAGCCAGATGTTTCTGCTTTCATTTGGCTGTCGTTGGAAACGTCACAAAGACTTTGTGTGGGCAGAGAAGCTTAATGCTGGCAGCCGCAGCACATCTGTGGTTTCTGGATGAAAGAAGTGAAAAGTGTTTTCTCACATGATGCTGAGCAGAACCTCAGAGTAACGCTTCCTAGGAAATTCTGGAGAAAACTCTGAGTTACATTATTCCAGATGTGAGGGTGGCTCACGCAGGAGAACGCTGCCGGGTTTTAACTGTGGAGGAGGGTCGGTCAGGTCAAAGGTCATCTTCCATTGACCTGACTGACCCCCGCCCCTCAGTTCGTGATGGACTGTCGCCACCGACGAACTCCAGGCTGGACGCAGCTGTGAGGACGACCAGCAGGGGGCAGAAGACTCAAGCCTGAGAGGAAGTAAAGCAATCATCTGATGAAGTGAAGGAGCAGCAGATTGGGTCCATATTTCAGTTTGAAGGTTTAATTGAGTCCATCTGCAGCTCTGAGGAACAAAACGGCTCTTCTCCTGCTTTGGGTTTGATATTTTTGTTTCTATGAAATAAAAGCTGAGGAAGGAAAAAAAACCCAGTCATTAAGACTTAGGAATATTCTGGAGGGCAAAGGTCACGCAAGCAGAACGCCTGCAGGTGAATCGAGATTTCTTTATAGCTAAATGTTTGGTTCATTTTCTCAATATAGTCGGAGAACTTTCATGTCTGTTTAAGCTGCGTTTATCATTGATAATAAAGTTATGCAACTTTATTATGTTGCATAATAAAGTGAACTTATTGAATGGATCCCTGATTACAGCTGAAGCCATCAGAGCCTCCCGCTGCCCCTGTGACCCGCTGCACCTGTGACCCTGTGACCTGACCCTGTGACCCGCTGCACCTGGACCCTGTGACCTGCTGACCCTGTGACCTGCTGACCCTGTGACCCTGTGACCTGCTGCACCTGTGACCCTGTGACCCTGCACACGCACACACACATACAGTTAACGTTTACATACCTGGGCAGGTTTTAACTTTATTTTCAAGTGAGATTTGATGGATTGTGTCGTTGCTGAGGGAACGTTGAGAGTCCCGGTTCTGGAGCCGTTTCACAGATGGACTCGTTTTAGAACCGGCAGCCAGAAACAGCAGTTTGTGTGTCTGAACCAAGGAGGATGGAGACGAAGAGCTTCTGCTCCCACTGGGACAAAAACGCAGCGAAAATTCACTGGAAATTCAGAGGAACAGTCAGAACCTCCCTCTGGTTACTCAACTCTGAACAATACCAGCTGTTTGGATCGGCCCGGTCCGATCCAAACAGCATCATCGGCTTCAGGCTGAAATCATCCAAATCACCACAAAGAAAAACCTTCAGAGGGGAAACCGGAGCGATCAAAGCCCCAAACATCAAGAACCACAACTGAGAATATTCAAGTTTACCAGCTTTTAACAGCAGATCCGAAACGACCCGAAACGCTCAGTCAGACGAGTTCCTCACATCTGGCTCTCTGAGTCATTAAAACATCGACGATCAGAACCGCATTAAAGTTAAAACATCTGGAAACAGAACATCAAACTGAACCTGAAGAGAGAACATTTAGACCAACAAATAAAAACAGAAACTAACGAGGAAAATACAACCAGAGCTGCAAGACCATTATTCCCCTAATATTAATCTGATTATAATATTGCAGGAGTTTTTGTAACGTTTTATCTTCATTCTGGTCCAAACGGAGATCAGAACCGACATTAAAGAAAACAAATCGAGGAGAGATTTATCAACGAAACAGGAAACGCTTCCAAAAGACGTGGATTCACTCAAACATGCAGCAGATAAAGACAAATAATACTAAAGCATCATAAAAGACTAAAGCATGTAAAAAAGTAAAACACAAAGTAATTAGATCAAATGTCAGGATTATGATCACCTCAGATATTACATTTCTTGTTTCATCATCTGTTTTTGTGTCTGTTTACTTTTACTAATCAATTTCCTCACTGAGGGACAATAAATGACATTTCTATCATTTCCATCTCCAGATTCTTCCAGCCAAACATCTGGACGGAAAACCTGTTGTAAAACATTAAATGGCGCCCCCAAGAGGCGGCAAAGAGTCACTACAGCAGGAGAGGAAACCATCAAAAATTATAGACAGTATTTATATTATTATGACTATTGACAGTATTTTAATATTATCATTTACTTGTCCCTGTTCTCTTTCCTTCATCACATTAAGAAACATAAATAAACTGAATGGTTAGGAGCATTTTTATTCTTTTATTGTATTTGTTTCCTTTTTATGTAATTTGGACTTTTGCCTGTAATAAAATAAATCTATCCATCTATCTTAGACTCGTGCTTTATTGATCCCTTGGGAAGACTCCATCAGAAAGTTGAAGTTACCAGCAGCTTACAGGCAAAAAGTGGCACATAGTGAGCAAAATGCAAAAGAATACAAAAAATACAAATTAAATACAAAGGTACACAGTAAATGTAATAAGAATATAAATACAAAACAAAATCTATCTATCTATCTATCTATCTATCTATCTATCTATCTATCTATCTATCTATCTATCTATCTATCTATCTATCTATCTATCTGATAAGCCATAACTTCAGCAGCCTCATACTCCAACAATCTCATCCTGATTAATAATCCAGGTGTTTATTTGTTCTGATCCGTTTCGCTGCATTTCTGGCTCAAACCTACAAAAGCTAACGACAGTTTACGACAGCTACTGTCACCTAACGGCAGCGCCAACTGTCGTAACCGAAGTAAACATGTGGAGAGTTCAGTGAAACATCAGGTAAAAACATCAAGTTTTTTCACATTTATTAAAGGAACTGACTGGAAGTTTGATGTTTTTATGGCTCGTTGGAGCGAAGCAGGTTGAAACCGAACCGAACCGAACCCGGTACCAGAACCAGGAGCCGCCGGTTGGTTTTAAGTCTGTTTAGCTGAATTTCAGAAGGCGCCATGTTTTCCTGGAAAGCCTGTCGGTTCCGACTCGGTTCGGTCCGAAGTTCAGAGAAAAATGAGTAGAATTCAAGGAAATCCTTGTAGGGTTCGGTGAGCAGACAGAACCGGCTGGTTCCGGGTCTTTCTAAGAGGTTCTGGACAGCTTTAGGTTCCCAAAGTATGGATGAGTTTAAATGAATAGTGATGTATGGAGGACCAAAAGGGCCAAAAGCTATTACATAAATAAACGTTATTAAATAATGGCAGTAATTTCCATCAAAGAAATTTATTTAAAAATATGTATTATTTGTCTTTGTATATTTGGGTTTTCGTAAACAGAAATAATTATACAAGGTTCTGGTGCCTTCATTTATTTCAGTCAGGTCTAGACTTTGACTAGGCCTTTTCAGCATCTTGGTTCTTCTGTTTTTCAGCTGTTCTGCTGTCGATCACCTGCTGTTTGGATCCCGGTTCTGTTGACGACCCCGTTTGGACCCAGCTATGGGTCAGATGGAACCAGAACCACTCAGACTGGAAGTTGATCACGTTTGGACCTGATCCGGATCATTGTGTTATTTTGTTTGAGGTGAGAAACGAGTCGGACTGTAACTGGACCAGAATCCAGTATGCCAATACCAGATGCTTCATTAAGCTCATCAGGTAGCATCACTAAAGCTAGCATCAGCATCCATTTTTACTGGAAATTTGTGGTTAGCTTGCATCCTAACAGCCTGAGTTGTTTTTAATCAGGCTTTATTTACGTCGCATTATTTTAACTCGTTTAAAGTCACATCACCAGTTTGATTTCTTACAATGTTTTTACCTGATGTTTCACTGAACTCTCCATGTTTACTTCGGTTACGACAGTTGGCGCAGCCGTTTGGTGACGGTAGCAGTCGTTTGGTGACGGTAGCAGCCGTTTGGTGACGGTAGCAGTCGTTTGGTGACGGTAGCAGTCGTTTGGTGACGGTAGCAGTCGTTTTGTGACGGTAGCAGTCGTTTGGTGACAGTAGCAGTCGTTTGGTGACGGTAGCAGTCGTTTGGTGACATTAGCAGTCATAAACTGTTGTTAGCTTTTGTAGGTTCGTTCCTTTCTGACCAAGATGGCTCAGATCACTTCTGGTGTGTTTTATGTTATTTTAGGTCTATATATTTGTCCTCATACCAGCTTGGTGCTCTGCGGGGCCCCCTGCTGGTGACTTTACTCTGATTGGACCTTTGTTTGGTTCTGGTTCCAGATGGAGAACTACAGCCGGGCCCGGGTCGTGGAGCAGCCGTGCGTCTCTCCGTTCGCCGGGCTTCCCGCCGACACGCCGGAGGTCCGGGTCAGAGACGGCAGCAAGATCCGGAACCTGCTTCGCTTCGCCCTGAGCCGGCTGGAGGCCGGGCCGGGCCGGGCCCAGGAGGAAGTGGAGGAGGCCGGTTCTGGTCCCGGTCCGCCCTGCAGTCGGCTTCTGTTCAGCGCCAGCGGCCGGGCCGTTTCCAAGGCGATCACCTGCGCAGAGGTGGTGAAGCGGCGCCTGAAGGGGCTGCACCAGCTGACCCGGCTGGCCCAGTCCACGGTTCTGGAGGTGTGGGAGCCGCTGGAGGCCGGCGCCGGCCTGGACAGCCTGACCGTCAGCAGGAAGCTGCCGGCCGTCTGGATCCTGCTCTCCCGGGAGCCGCTGGACCCGGAGCAGCCCGGCTACCAGGCGCCGGGGCGCTACGACGCCCTGTGGGCCCCGGGGGGCGCCGGCGGGCCGCGCACCGGGCCCCGCACCGGGCCCCGCACCGGGCCCCGCAGGAGGGGAGGAGGAGGAGGAGGAGGAAGAGGGAAAGGCTCCGGCCGACACACCGGCCGCTCCAGAGACCCTGGCAAAGGACAGTAGAGGTTTCCATAGCAACTGGACAGGAAGTGACTCCATGTTTGAGTTCAGTTTGATGTTTTGATTTAATAAAGTTGAGCAGGAGAAAGTATTCACACCCTGCTAACTTCCAGCCATCCTGGTTTTTACTGGAAAACGTTGGGACAAACTGGAGCTAAAAATCTGAAAAGTGTGGCCTGCTTCTCCATTTTTTTGTATTTATTTCAAGTCCAGTTTTATGTTTTCTGTTCCATCGTGATTTATTAAAGCTTTTCTGAAGGTTGAACGACGTCATATTGTTTAAGGTGGACGACATCATGGAAGTCGCGGTGATGTCAGTGATGTGAGCACAAACACTTGGAGGCTTTATCAGCTGTATGGAGGTAAATATTTACTAAGTCTATCATGCAGAACTAAAGGAGCAATAAATATATCATTGTTCATGAGCAGCGGAGAAAAGTCCTGCTCCTGACGATGATGATCACACTGACCACAGCCGTGCTGCTGGAACATCACAAACCAAACTTATTATGCATTTGTTCAGTGGAATTAACGAAGCCTCCTGCTACGGCGCCACCTTCAGGATGAAGCTTTAACTTGGTTTCCAGTTTCTAAAAGCGTGAAGCTGCCAGTCAGAAGCTTCGACACGCAGAGCGACGCTGATCAGCCCGACATCGTGCAGCATTGGCACGCATTCTCCGGTAGTCGTTCTTTTTTTCTTAAGGACTTTTTGGGCCCGAATTCATTTGACAACAATCTGACTGGAAGGGGCAGAAAGGTCACAAAGGTCAGGGCCCGGCAAACCGAGGACGGAGTCGGACTCCAGATATCCGCTCTACAGCCTCGACATCCAGGGCGCCACACAGCGACCCTATTGGTAGCCTGTGCTGAAATTTTCAGTTTCTCTTTACTGACCTTTGACCTAAACGTCGGTTAACAGACTCCAGGTGTTCTGGACAAATAAATCTGAAATTCACAATATTTGATCCATAAAATCAGATTCAGAATCTGAAAGGTTAAAGTTAATCCACCAGAACCTGAGGCAGAAACGGGTCAGGAGGTCAGCAGGGTGCAGGAGGAGGAAGAGGAGAGGAAGAGGAGGAGGAAGAGCAGGAGGAAGAGCAGGAGGAAGAGGAGGAGGAAGAGCAGGAGGAAGAGGAGGAGGAAGAGCAGGAGGAAGAGGAGGAGGAAGAGCAGGAGGAAGAGGAGGAGGAAGAGCAGGAGGAGGAGGAAGAGCAGGAGGAAGAGCAGGAGGAGGAGGAGGAGGAAGAGGAGGAGGAAGAGGAGGAGGAAGAGCAGGAGGAAGAGCAGGAGGAGGAGGAAGAGGAGGAGGAAGAGGAGGAGGAAGAGCAGGAGGAAGAGGAGGAGGAAGAGCAGGAGGAAGAGCAGGAGGAAGAGGAGGAGGAAGAGCAGGAGGAGGAGGAGGAAGAGCAGGAGGAAGAGCAGGAGGAGGAGGAGGAGGAAGAGCAGGAGGAAGAGGAGGAGGAAGAGCAGGAGGAGGAGGAAGAGCAGGAGGAAGAGCAGGAGGAAGAGGAGGAGGAAGAGCAGGAGGTTTGTTTTATAAGGAGCTGACTGTAAAGTTACACTTTAAAAATAATTTTATTTTTTCATAGAGATAAAATTGTGGATGTTCATTTCATGAATTTATGACATTTATGTCAGAGTTCAAAACCAAAGTTTTATTTCCCAAAATCAATATTTGGTTCTTAAATTAAAAATTTAGTTAGGAAGCAAATTATGTAATTTTCAAACTAAATATTTAGTCCAAGATTAGATATTTATTTGCCAACTAAATATTTAGGTTTCTAGCTACATATTTAGCTAATATGGAAATGAGCTTGATGAGCAGAAGTAGAAGTTTTGTTGGGTTCTGCTTCGGTTCTGTTGGGTTCTGCTTCAGTTCTGTTGGGTTCTGCCGGGCCATCTGGACCTGCAGCTGATCCGTTTTCCTCCCAGCGTCTTAGAGGATTACTCTCAGGAGGATCAGCGCTCTGCGGCAGCATGGCTCGGTTCGGAACGCTGCTGCTCCTTGTTGGCCCGATGCTGGTTCTGGCCCGGGTCCGGCAGCCGCTGCCCGTCCTGTTCATGGTGCCGGTCGGGTCCGATGGGGAGAACCTGACAGCTGGCCTGCTTCCAGCCGTCAGTCTGGCTCTGCAGGACCTGGAGAGACAAACGGCACCGCTGGGGAAGTACCAGGTCCAACTGCAGCAGCTGGACTCACAGGTCGGTTCTGGACTCAGTTCAGCTCTCTGTGATCAGCTTTATCTGCATTTGTTCCTGGTAGGTGAACGATATTTTAGCATCAACATCGGAATTGGGCCGATAAAATCAACCGATCTCGACTGATGTTTGTCTCCGTCTCGGTTCTGTCCCAGTTATTTGGACTTTATTGATGCAGAACTATGGCTGCTGAACTGAAGCAGAGGAGCAACACCAGCTGTCTGAAATGTATCCAACATTTATAGTATTAGCAGTGGTTGGCTCAGTTCAGCTAATCAACAGTTTAGCTAACTTTGAAAATGTTTAGCATATTTCCTCCAAGTTAAATTTATGCTGGTATAGCACTTAGCGCTAGTATCAGTTAATTTGTTTGTTCACATAGCAGTTTAGCATTAGTGAACTAATGGTCTAGTTAGCGCTTTAGCATTAATGAACTAATGGTCTAGTTAGCGCTTTAGCATTGGTGAAACTAATGATCCAGTTAGCGCTTTAGCATTGGTGAACTAATGGTTAAGTTAGTGCTTTAGCATTAGTGAAACTAATGGTCTAGTTAGCACTTTAGAATTAGTGAACTAATGGTTAAGTTAGCGCTTTAGCATTAGTGAAACTAATGGTCTAGTTAGCGCTTTAGAATTAGTGAACTAATGGTTAAGCTAGCGCTTTAGCATTAGTGAAACCAATGGTCTAATTAGCGCTTTAGAATCAGTAAACTAATGGTTAAGTTAGCGCTTTAGCATTAGTGAAACTAATGGTCTAGTTAGCGCTTTAGAATTAGTGAACTAATGGTTAAGCTAGCGCTTTAGCATTGGTGAAACTAATGGTCTAGTTAGCGCTTTAGCATTGGTGAAACTAATGATCTAGTTAGCGCTTTAGCATTGGCACAGACATTTTTTTACCCAGCTTTGCTCACCACTGAATATTGATCATCAGCGATATCATATTAGTTAAAAACGGTAAAGATTTCCAGTATTTTTGTTTCTTCTCACTATGTTCATCCCTGCTGGTCCAGAAGAGCCTCAGCAGTTTTTTGGTGACATTTTGTTCCAAATCTTCATCCTCAGGTGTGTTTAACCTGTTTTCCAGTGTGACCAAGCCAAAGCCCTCAAAGCGCTGTTTGACGCCTTGTGGGCGGGGCCCAAGTACCTGCTGATCCTTGGGGGGGCGTGTCCATCTGTGACATCACTCATCGCTCGCGCTCTTCCATCGCTCGGCCTCCTGCAGGTGCGCCGCTCTTCCTCCTCATCATCCTGTCGTGTTTCTGTATCATGACCTGGTTTCCTGCGGCTCTGGGTCTCAGGTTTCCTTCGAGGCTCCGACGCCCAGCCTGTCCAACAGGAAGTGGTACCGGCACCTGTTCAGCACGGCGCCGCCGGTCCGCGCCGTGAACCTGGCCACGGTGAAGCTGCTGCAGCGCTACAGGTGGAGGAGGGTCGGGCTGCTGACCCAGGACCAGCCAGGACTCACCGAGGTGATCATGTGACTGATGACATGACCTGCTGACCTTTACACTTCCTGTCAGCTAAAGACCAACAGGATCCTCATCACCTCCGTCGCTGCCGGGTCAAAACAGTCTGTCATTACAGTTCAGTTTGATGTGAATTTTTGTCAAATTCAATTAACTTTAGTTAGTTTTTATAGTGTTTTGCTAGTTTTTGTTTGTTACTTAAACGTTGCTCTGTTTCAGTTTCATTTTAATAGTCGTATTAAAATCAGTCGAAATGGTAAAAAGCAGATGAATAAACACAGAAACTGGAGCTACTAATTTCAGTAGGTTAGTTAGTTTTATAAATGATTTAGTTTTTCTGTTAATTGCCGTTTTTAAGAGTGAAAATGCTGCAAACAGAACTAACCTGAGAGCCAGCAGAACCTGACCCGGAGTCCGACCCGTTCTGTCTGCAGATGACCAGAGATCTGACCCGGCAACTTCTGAGGGCCGACGTCCAGCTGGCCGCCGCCGAACGCTTCTCTGGAGACGCCTGCGGCGGCCTGAGGAGGCTGCAGGTAGAACCGGGCCGGGTCCAGCACGGTTCTGGTCCCGGTCCAGGTTCTGTGGCTCTTCACTTCCTTTCTGCTCCGGCTTCACAGGATGAAGATGTGCGCATCATCGTGGGACATTTTGAAGATGGTTCTGTGACGGACGTGTTCTGCTGTGTGAGTGAGCAGGTCCAGGGTCCAGGTTCTGGTGGCCCAGATGATCCCAGGACCCGGCTTTAAAAGTCTCAAAGATTCAAGATGGCTGCCATTTATCAATGTACCAAAACAAAAAGGATGGAAACTTTCGGTGTCAGTCACATTTGGACCACAGAAACGATATTTACTGATAATATGATCATTTCTCAAGATGGCCGCCATGGTTGTGATATATAGATATAAAATCCACAGACGTTACTGGCAATGGAGGCCACAGCGAACCAAAAGGATAAATTAACTCTTTCAATAAACAAAACTCTTAGCTCATGTGTTTAGCTGAACTGATAAATAAAAACAAAAATAGCTCTGCTAATGCTAACCTCATACAGTTAGTGTAAGCTAATGCTAAACCTCAACTGGTAAAAGCATAAATAAATGTTAGTGCAAGCTAACGCTAACACATAAAAAATTAGCAGAAAAAGCTAACGCTAACCGTTAAGATGACTCTCCGTCCAGTTGACGGCTGGAGTGAGACTCGCTTACAGCAGAGTTCCCAGTTTCTGATTATTTTACAGTTCTATGAACAGGAAGAGAAAAGTAGAAAACATAAGATGACAAAGTTCATCCAAGTCATAAAGTAGGGAACCTTTTACAGTGGGGAACCTTTTACAGTGGGGAACCTTTTAAAGTAGGGAACCTTTTAAAGTGGGGAACCTTTTAAAGTAGGGAACCTTTTAAAGTGGGGAACCTTTTAAAATAGGGAACCTTTTAAAGTGGGGAACCTTTTAAAATAGGGAACCTTTTAATGTGGGGAACCTTTTAAAATAGGGAACCTTTTAAAATAGGGAACATTTTAAAGTGGGGAACCTTTTAAAGTAGGGAACCTTTTAAAGTAGGGAACCTTTTAAAGTGGGGAACCTTTTAAAATAGGGAACCTTTTAAAGTGGGGAACCTTTTAAAGTGGGGAACCTTTTAAAGTGGGGAACCTTTTAAAATAGGGAACCTTTTAAAGTGGGGAACCTTTTAAAGTAGGGAACCTTTTAAAGTGGGGAACCTTTTAAAGTAGGGAACCTTTTAAAATAGGGAACCTTTTAAAGTGGGGAACCTTTTAAAATAGGGAACCTTTTAATGTGGGGAACCTTTTAAAATAGGGAACCTTTTAAAATAGGGAACCTTTTAATGTGGGGAACCTTTTAAAATAGGGAACCTTTTAAAATAGGGAACATTTTAAAGTGGGGAACCTTTTAAAGTAGGGAACCTTTTAAAGTGGGGAACCTTTTAAAATAGGGAACCTTTTAAAGTGGGGAACCTTTTAAAATAGGGAACCTTTTAAAATAGGGAACCTTTTAAAATAGGGAACCTTTTAAAGTAGGGAACCTTTTAAAGTGGGGAACCTTTTAATGTGGGGAACCTTTTAAAGTAGGGAACCTTTTAATGTGGGGAAGCTTTTAAAGTAGGGAACATTTTAAAGTGGGGAACCTTTTAAAGTAGGGAACCTTTTAAAGTGGGGAACCTTTTAAAGTAGGGAACCTTTTAAAGTGGGGAACCTTTTAAAGTAGGGAACCTTTTAAAGTGGGGAACCTTTTAAAATAGGGAAACTTTTAAAATACGGAACCTTTTAAAATAGGGAACCTTTTAAAGTGGGGAAACTTTTAAAGTAGGGAACCTTTTAAAGTGGGGAACCTTTTAATGTGGGGAACCTTTTAAAGTAGGGAACCTTTTAAAGTGGGGAACCTTTTAAAGTGGGGAACCTTTTAAAATAGGGAACCTTTTAAAATAGGGAACCTTTTAAAATAGGGAACCTTTTAAAGTGGGGAACCTTTTAAAGTAGGGAACCTTTTAAAGTGGGGAACCTTTTAAAGTGGGGAACCTTTTAAAGTAGGGAACCTTTTAAAGTGGGGAACCTTTTAAAGTGGGGAACCTTTTAAAATAGGGAACCTTTTAAAGTGGGGAACCTTTTATAGTAGGAAACCTTTTAAAATAGGGAACCTTTTAAAGTAGGGAACCTTTTAAAGTGGGGAACCTTTTAAAGTAGGGAACCTTTTAAAGTGGGGAACCTTTTATAGTAGGGAACCTTTTAAAGTGGGGAACCTTTTAAAATAGGGAACCTTTTAAAGTGGGGAACCTTTTAAAATAGGGAACCTTTTAAAGTGGGGAACCTTTTATAGTAGGGAACCTTTTAAAGTGGGGAACCTTTTAAAATAGGGAAACTTTTAAAATAGGGAACCTTTTAAAGTGGAGAACCTTTTATAGTAGGGAACCTTTTATAGTAGGAAACCTTTTAAAATAGGGAACCTTTTAAAGTGGGGAACCTTTTAAAGTAGGGAACCTTTTAAAGTGGGGAACCTTTTATAGTAGGGAACCTTTTAAAGTGGGGAACCTTTTAAAATAGGGAACCTTTTAAAGTGGGGAACCTTTTAAAATAGGGAACCTTTTAAAGTGGGGAACCTTTATAGTAGGGAACCTTTTAAAGTGGGGAACCTTTTAAAATAGGGAAACTTTTAAAATAGGGAACCTTTTAAAATAGGGAACCTTTTAAAGTGGGGAACCTTTTAAAATAGGGAACCTTTTAAAGTGGGGAACCTTTTAAAGTGGGGAACCTTTTAAAATAGGGAACCTTTTAAAGTGGGGAACCTTTTAAAATAGGGAAACTTTTAAAATAGGGAACCTTTTAATGTGGGGAACCTTTTAAAGTAGAGAACCTTTTAATGTGGGGAACCTTTAAAGTAGGGAACATTTTAAAGTGGGGAACCTTTTAATGTGGGGAACCTTTTAAAGTGGGGAACCTTTTAAAATAGGGAACCTTTAAAGTGGGGAACCTTTTAAAGTGGGGAACCTTTTAAAATAGGGAACCTTTTAAAGTGGGGAACCTTTTAAAATAGGGAAACTTTTAAAATAGGGAACCTTTTAATGTGGGGAACCTTTTAAAGTAGAGAACCTTTTAATGTGGGGAACCTTTTAAAGTAGGGAACATTTTAAAGTGGGGAACCTTTTAAAGTAGGGAACCTTTTAAAGTGGGGAACCTTTTAAAGTAGGGAACCTTTTAAAGTGGGGAACCTTTTAAAGTAGGGAACCTTTTAAAGTGGGGAACCTTTTAAAATAGGGAAACTTTTAAAATAGGGAACCTTTTAAAATAGGGAACCTTTTAAAGTGGGGGAATTTTTAAAGTAGGGAACCTTTTAAAGTAGGGAACCTTTTAAAGTGGGGAACCTTTTAAAGTGGGGAACCTTTTAAAATAGGGAAACTTTTAAAATAGGGAACCTTTTAAAATAGGGAACCTTTTAAAGTGGGGAACCTTTTAAAATAGGGAACCTTTTAAATTGGGGAACCTTTTAAAATAGGGAACCTTTTAAAGTGGGGAACCTTTTAAAATAGGGAACCTTTTAAAGTGGGGAACCTTTTAAAATAGGGAAACTTTTAAAATAGGGAACCTTTTAAAATAGGGAACCTTTTAAAGTGGGGAACCTTTTAAAGTAGGGAACCTTTTAAAGTGGGGAACCTTTTAAAGTAGGGAACCTTTTAAAGTGGGGAACCTTTTAAAATAGGGAACCTTTTAAAGTGGGGAACCTTTTAAAATAGGGAACCTTTTAAAGTGGGGAACCTTTTAAAATAGGGAACCTTTTAAAGTGGGGAACCTTTTAAAGTGGGGAACCTTTTATAGTAGGGAACCTTTTAAAGTGGGGAACCTTTTAAAGTAGGGAACCTTTTAAAGTGGGGAACCTTTTAAAGTAGGGAACCTTTTAAAGTGGGGAACCTTTTATAGTAGGGAACCTTTTAAAGTGGGGAACCTTTTAAATAGGGAACCTTTTAAAGTGGGGAACCTTTTAAAATAGGGAACCTTTTAAAGTGGGGAACCTTTTATAGTAGGGAACCTTTTAAAGTGGGGAACCTTTTAAAATAGGGAAACTTTTAAAATAGGGAACCTTTTAAAATAGGGAACCTTTTAAAGTGGGGAACCTTTTAAAGTGGGGAACCTTTTAAAGTGGGGAACCTTTTAAAGTGGGGAACCTTTTAAAATAGGGAACCTTTTAAAGTGGGGAACCTTTTAAAATAGGGAACCTTTTAAAATAGGGAACCTTTTAAAGTGGGGAACCTTTTAAAATAGGGAACCTTTTAAAATAGGGAACCTTTTAAAATAGGGAACCTTTTAAAGTGGGGAACCTTTTAAAATAGGGAACCTTTTAAAATAGGGAACCTTTTAAAGTGGGGAACCTTTTAAAGTGGGGAACCTTTTAAAATAGGGAACCTTTTAAAGTGGGGAACCTTTTAAAATAGGGAAACTTTTAAAATAGGGAACCTTTTAATGTGGGGAACCTTTTAAAGTAGAGAACCTTTTAATGTGGGGAACCTTTTAAAGTAGGGAACATTTTAAAGTGGGGAACCTTTTAATGTGGGGAACCTTTTAAAATAGGGAACCTTTTAAAATAGGGAACCTTTTAAAATAGGGAACCTTTTAAAGTGGGGAACCTTTTAAAGTAGGGAACCTTTTAAAATAGGGAACCTTTTAAAGTGGGGAACCTTTTAAAATAGGGAAACTTTTAAAATAGGGAACCTTTTAATGTGGGGAACCTTTTAAAGTAGAGAACCTTTTAATGTGGGGAACCTTTTAAGTAGGGAACATTTTAAAGTGGGGAACCTTTTAAAGTAGGGAACCTTTTAAAGTGGGGAACCTTTTAAAGTAGGGAACCTTTTAAAGTGGGGAACCTTTTAAAGTAGGGAACCTTTTAAAGTGGGGAACCTTTTAAAATAGGGAAACTTTTAAAATAGGGAACCTTTTAAAATAGGGAACCTTTTAAAGTGGGGGAATTTTTAAAGTAGGGAACCTTTTAAAATAGGGAACCTTTTAATGTGGGGAACCTTTTAAAATAGGGAACCTTTTAAAATAGGGAAACTTTTAAAATAGGGAACCTTTTAAAATAGGGAACCTTTTAAAGTGGGGAACCTTTTAAAATAGGGAACCTTTTAAAGTGGGGAACCTTTTAAAATAGGGAACCTTTTAAAGTGGGGAACCTTTTAAAATAGGGAACCTTTTAAAGTGGGGAACCTTTTAAAGTAGGGAACCTTTTAAAGTGGGGAACCTTTTAAAATAGGGAAACTTTTAAAATAGGGAACCTTTTAAAATAGGGAACCTTTTAAAGTGGGGGAATTTTTAAAGTAGGGAACCTTTTAAAGTAGGGAACCTTTTAAAGTGGGGAACCTTTTAAAGTGGGGAACCTTTTAAAATAGGGAAACTTTTAAAATAGGGAACCTTTTAAAATAGGGAACCTTTTAAAGTGGGGAACCTTTTAAAATAGGGAACCTTTTAAATTGGGAACCTTTTAAAATAGGGAACCTTTTAAAGTGGGGAACCTTTTAAAATAGGGAACCTTTTAAAGTGGGGAACCTTTTAAAATAGGGAAACTTTTAAAATAGGGAACCTTTTAATGTGGGGAACCTTTTAAAGTAGAACCTTTTAATGTGGGGAACCTTTTAAAGTAGGGAACATTTTAAAGTGGGGAACCTTTTAAAGTAGGGAACCTTTTAAAGTGGGGAACCTTTTAAAGTAGGGAACCTTTTAAAGTGGGGAACCTTTTAATGTGGGGAACCTTTTAAAGTAGGGAACCTTTTAAAGTGGGGAACCTTTTAAAGTAGGGAACCTTTTAAAGTGGGGAACCTTTTAAAGTAGGGAACCTTTTAAAGTGGGGAACCTTTTATAGTAGGGAACCTTTTAAAGTGGGGAACCTTTTAAAATAGGGAACCTTTTAAAGTGGGGAACCTTTTAAAATAGGGAACCTTTTAAAGTGGGGAACCTTTTATAGTAGGGAACCTTTTAAAGTGGGAACCTTTTAAAATAGGGAAACTTTTAAAATAGGGAACCTTTTAAAATAGGGAACCTTTTAAAGTGGGGAACCTTTTAAAGTAGGGAACCTTTTAAAGTGGGGAACCTTTTAATGTGGGGAACCTTTTAAAATAGGGAACCTTTTAAAGTGGGGAACCTTTTAAAATAGGGAACCTTTTAAAATAGGGAATCTTTTAAAGTGGGGAACCTTTTAAAGTGGGGAACCTTTTAAAATAGGGAACCTTTTAAAGTGGGGAACCTTTTAAAATAGGGAAACTTTTAAAATAGGGAACCTTTTAATGTGGGGAACCTTTTAAAGTAGAGAACCTTTTAATGTGGGGAACCTTTTAAAGTAGGGAACATTTTAAAGTGGGGAACCTTTTAAAGTAGGGAACCTTTTAAAGTGGGGAACCTTTTAAAGTAGGGAACCTTTTAAAGTGGGGAACCTTTTAAAGTAGGGAACCTTTTAAAGTGGGGAACCTTTTAAAATAGGGAAACTTTTAAAATAGGGAACCTTTTAAAATAGGGAACCTTTTAAAGTGGGGAATTTTTAAAGTAGGGAACCTTTTAAAGTAGGGAACCTTTTAAAGTGGGGAACCTTTTAAAGTGGGGAACCTTTTAAAATAGGGAACCTTTTAAAGTAGGGAACCTTTTAAAATAGGGAACCTTTTAAAGTGGGGAACCTTTTAAAATAGGGAACCTTTTAAAGTGGGGAACCTTTTAAAATAGGGAACTTTTAATGTGGGGAACCTTTTAAGATAGGGAACCTTTTAAAGTAGGGAACCTTTTAAAGTAGGGAACCTTTTAAAATAGGGAACCTTTTAAAATAGGGAACCTTTTAAAGTGGGGAACCTTTTAAAGTAGGGAACCTTTTAAAGTGGGGAACCTTTTAAAGTAGGGAACCTTTTAAAGTGGGGAACCTTTTAAAATAGGGAACCTTTTAAAGTGGGGAACCTTTTAAAATAGGGAACCTTTTAAAGTGGGGAACCTTTTAAAATAGGGAACCTTTTAAAGTAGGGAACCTTTTAAAGTGGGGAACCTTTTAAAGTAGGGAACCTTTTAAAGTGGGGAACCTTTTAAAATAGGGAACCTTTTAAAGTGGGGAACCTTTTAAAATAGGGAACCTTTTAAAGTGGGGAACCTTTTAAAATAGGGAACCTTTTAAAGTGGGGAACCTTTTAATGTGGGGAACCTTTTAAAATAGGGAACCTTTTAAAGTGGGGAACCTTTTAAAGTAGGGAACCTTTTAAAATAGGGAACCTTTTAAAGTGGGGAACCTTTTATGGAAGTAATTGGTTAAAAAATTCAAAAGTCGGTGTCCATCTTGAAATTCAGCAGGCTAAAATGTCTGAGGCTAATTGGTATCTAACCTCAAAGCAACGTGCTGGCTGTAACCAGAACATCTGGACCCCGGTGGCTGTGTTCAGGCGTTCAGACTGGGCCTGTTCGGACCTCGGTACCAGTGGATTCTGGCCGCTGGACGACCTTCTGGGTGGAAGCTGGGATGGCAGCCCTCCAGCTGTTCTGCTAGCAGCCTGCTAACGGCGGCGGACGGATCGTTCAGGCTGCAGGTCAGACAGCTCAGCAGCACCAACACGCCTGGAGTCTCCGAACGGGTCAGAACTTTTCTGCACTGCGCTTTCCTGGCCCGGCAAGGATGCCAGCTCCAGGTTAAAGGTTTATCCTGTCCACAGACTCCTCAGGGTTACCTGGAGTCGTACCTGAAGCAGCTGAACCAGGAGGGGTCAGAGGTCTACCCTCTCCACGCCTTCGCCTACGATGCGGTTTGGGTCGCCGCCCAGGTTCTGGTTCAGGTAAAGGAGACGGTGAAGCTCAGGAGAAAGTTCAGCTCTCTGAGGAACGTCTCTGTTGGCGAGGAAGACGAAGGGAAAATGCTGCTGGAGGCCGTGAAGAGCACACAGTTTGAAGGAGTAACAGTAAGGACACACACTGGACACACACCTGAGACAGTGACAGGCTCCCATCGGCTTCCTTCATTGTCCTCCTGCATCTGTTCTGCAGTGGTGGGCACCGCTAACAAAACAGCTAGCTTTGCTACTCCAAAATAATTAGTTGAAACTGATGCTAAACTGCTAGCCGCACCTAGCAGTTAATGACAGTTAATGCTAAAGCACTAACTCCACTTTACCCACATAATCATTAAAACAGCAAAAGTAAAAGCCAGTAATTAGTTTAAGCCAGTTACTGTTAGCATGGGCTAACAGTAAAGCTCCACAGGTTGATTCTTTGCAGAAATAGCTCAACAGAAGGTTCTGCTAAAATGCTACCTCACAGTAATTAGCAGAAGCTAACCTGCTAATTAGCTTTTGCTAATTGGTATCTAACCTATCTTGAAGCTACACCAACAAGATAACTGTTGAACTGAATTCAACTGAAGGTTTACCAAATACACATTAAAGCTTTAGAATTAATTCTTGGGAAGCTGAGTGCGCTAAACGTTTTCAAAGTTAGCGGAAGCTAAAAGTATGAATGTTTTACTCTGAAGAACCGGGCCAACGGGCCTTGTCCTGTCTGTCTCCGCCAGGGGCCCGTTTCCTTCCGGAACGGCGACAGAATGACGGTGATCGAGCTGATCCAGTTTCAGGGTGAGGACAGCCGACCCGGTTCCGGTCTGGTTCTGGTACCGGCGCCGCACCGATGCTCTGCTCTGCCTGTTTGTCCTCAGGAGCCAGCGGGGTTCTGGTGGGCGAGTTCAACACGAGTCACCAGCAGGTCCGAGTCCTGAACCAGCTGCTCAGGTTCAAAGGTTAGGACGGCTCCTGTCTGACTGACCTATGGAGAGAAAATAGTCCCAAAATGATTGCAGGCCAAGAACAAAATCCTGGGTCTTAAAACGGGTTTCATCTCTTTCTGCTGGTTAAATAAAGATTATAAGTGGTTTATTTCAGCGTCATGGTCCCCATGAGATACAAACATATTATCATTATCATCATTATCATCATCATTATTATCATCATCATTATCATCATCATCATTATCATTATTATCATCATCATCATTATTATCATCATTATCATCATTGTCATCATCATTATCATCATCATTGTCGTCATCATCATTATCATCATCATCATTATTATCATCATTATCATCATCATCATTATTATCATCATCATCATTATCATCATTATCATTATAAAAGGGAAAATAAAACAAAAACTGCTCAGTTCGTCTCTGCATTCAGATGAATGTTTCCGGGTCGCTCTGGGTTCGCTGTCCCGTCGGCAGGTCCAGAGGTCATTGGGTCCAAACTGACCCGGTTCTGTTCTGCAGGTCCGGGACCGGCCAGAGACCAGACTCTGGTCCGGCAGCAGCACCTCCGGGTCGGCCTCCTGCTGTACTGCGTCCTGTCAGCAGCTGCTGCCGGAACCATCTTCATCACCCTGATGGTCCTCTGCATTGTCATCATCGCCCGCTGGCGCTGGTGGGTCCAGGTCCGGTTCTGGGTCCAGCTGAACTTGCCAGAACTCAGCTGTCTGTCTGGTTCCAGGCCCCGGCGGCCCGGAACTTCTCCCCAGGATGAGCTGCTCCTGCTGGGCCTCCTGCTGTCCTCCGCCTCGGTTCTGTTCTCCGGTCTGGACCGGACCTCGCTGCCGGACCCGACGCTGGAGATATTCTGCTCTGTGAGTCCAGAACCAGAACCAGGTTATTCAAGCTAACTAAAACAAACTCAGGTTCATGAAGCATTTTAACTGAAATAAATAAGAACTGAAACAGGAACCAAATTGTTCACTAATCAAACGATTGATCATTAACCTTCATTGATCTTTTTATCAGCCTTTCAAACTGATAAAAATAATAATTTCTTTCTCACTCCACAAGCAGCTGTCGGCTCATTACAGCTCATGCTGATCGATAAAGACATTATGACCCAATTATTGGTTGTTCAGCAATAATTGAATCCATTTTGTGAAAATTGTTTCATCTTCTGAATATTTTGAATTGTGCAGATGGGTTAGGGTTAATGTGAAACAGCGCCCCCCCCTGGTGGTTGGTAACGTTAAATATAGTGAACAGACGCCTGGTTGCCAGTTGATGAGAGATGATGTCGGTTCACAGAGAACATTGTAACTGTAAAATGTTGGTAAGGTGCTGCACTGCCTGTCATGAACCTGGTTCCTGATTATTTTATATTTTGTTTCATACAGATGAACCACATTTTGTCTCCTGGTCCCGTATTCACACAACACAGAGCTGATGAAAGCCGTTATAATTCAAAAGGTTACAGATAAAACCAGAACATAAAAACTACTAAAACGAAGCCATCTAAACACGACCAGTAATAATAAAACAAAAACTCATCGTTTTAATGCCTTCTTTAGTTTTATGTTTTGTTTATTGTTTGATTTGTTTGAATAATTTTAATTTTATCAGGACAAACTGAGACATTTGGGCAAAATCTGGCAGAAATGTCAAATAATCATCACAATGTAATAAAGCTGAACTACAATGTAACAGTCCAGAACCAGAACCAGAACCAGAACCGCTGGCTCCTGTGCTGCAGGTCCGCCTGTGGACTCTGTCTCTGGGTCACACTGTGGGCTTGGCGGTGCTGCTCACCAGAACCTGGAGGGTCTACGCCGTCTGCAGCGTCCAGCTGAAGGTAGGACCGCTCCGGGTCCAGCGGGTCCAGAGGGAATTCTGACGTCTCTGTGTTTCCAGAACCAGAACCAGCTGCAGAAAACAGGCCGTGTTCAGCTCTGGATCCTCCTGTTGGACCTGCTGGTTCTGATCTCCTGGCAGGTTCTGGACCCACTCAGACGAGAGGTTCTGCAGCACCAGTTGGAGGTGAGGACCGGTTCTGGACCGGTCCGGAACGTCTTCAGACCTTTAAAGCTTCAAATAGCTGAAAATAGAGAAACAGGAGAGTTTCATTTTCAAAGTTCATTCATTCATTTAGAAATGTTAGTTTAGGGGGCGCTGGTGAGCAAGATATGGTGTAGGACGTATTGTTCGGAGCTCCTGCAAAATCCGTAATAATTACATTAAAAACAGCATTAACCACGTTAATATCTGTTGAAAACCTGGAGAGAAAACCTTAGGATCATAAACATTTGGACAACCCGAACATAATATTCCTGAATGGCCGAAAAACTGCAAAAGTATAGACACGGAAGCGATGCTAATGCTACAAGGCCTGCTAGGACCGCGAGGCAGCGGACAACAGGTGAAGGGGACCCACTGACGACTACTGGGACTGAGGGCCCAAACACGTGTAACGAAGAAATGAAAGCGGACATCCTATCATCACTGAGAGGTGAAATAGCTAAAGTGATAAGAGACGAACTTAAAGGCGCATTAGCGGAAGATTTTCAAGCTATAAGATCCGAACTGCAAGCGGTCCGCTCCGAAATAGCTAACAGCTCAAAGACCATACAAGGTGAAGTGGATATTATAAAGACGGACGTTCAGGATTTAAAGGGTGGCCTATCAACATGGTCAGACGAAATCACTTCTCTACAGTCTACTGTAACCAGCTTACAAAAGGAAATGTCGACGCTCAAAGATAAATGTGAAGACCTAGAGGGGAGAATGAGAAGGTCCAATATCCGCATAGCGGGCATTGAAGAACGGCCGGGCTCCAGCTCCCCTGAAGCTGTGGCAAAAATCATCAGAGAAGTCCTGCAGTTAGATCGAGACATAAAGGTGGACCGATCACACCGCACACTCACCGGGAGAGGACCCAGAAACCGGGAGACACCGAGAGTCATCATCGCTAAATTACATCATGACGGGGACGCGGTGGAGATCCTGAGGAGAGCCCGAGGTAGAGCCCCGCTTCTTTACAACGGGCGCCGAGTCGCCTTCTTCCCCGACTACACGGCCAGCGTAGCCAAAGCAAGAGCCACTTTCACGGAGGTACGGAGGGCGTTGCAGGGTAACAAGGAGGTCCGCTATGGCCTACTCTACCCGGCCCGATTCCGGATTACATATCACAATGAAGAAAAGGAGTTCCTTGATCCCAAAACGGCCATGGAATACGTCCGGAACAATATTACTCCAACAGAGACAGCCGAATAAAGGTAGCTACCGTGAGCCCAGAGAGACAACTATATTAGAAAATATTCTCATTGCTATGGCTAATTTTCATATAGTTCTCTTTATACGTCTTATTGATACGAGCAGATATGCTGTTTTATTTCAGATTCCTTTTTTTCAGGGTTTGCAGGAGATGGTGCAGTATACTTGAAGCTTTCAAGGCTATATTGTTTGTTTTTTTTCCTTATGACTTTCCTCATTTGATAGCTTATATACTTATCTAAGCGCACCTACTGCACATATATTCAATCTTGGTTGTGCACTTTAGCGGCTTATCTTAGCTGCTGGGGACTATGTCCCAAGTATTTAAACTGTGTATCTACCTGTTCTATGTTTTTCTAGTTCAGATCCCTCTGTTCCCCGGGGATCCTGCGCAAATTGTTTTTGCAAACTTATTTTCTTCTTGTTATCATCATCTAGCTTCGTTACCTGTTCATACTTATTCTGTGAGAGTTGTCAAAAATTTGCTTTATCGCTCTCTGTTTAGTTTTGTGTACAGTGTGTGCATAATCTGTGGTCCCCACACAATTAAGACAGCTTTATGCATCAAGGATTGGCCGACATTGACAATATATTCTGAGATGTCAAAACATAAGTTATAGAGATAATGGGTGAACCACTCAAAATTGTAACTTACAATGTAAAAGGGCTCCACAATCCAGTCAAAAGGAAGAAAATTTTGAATCAATTAAAACAAATTAACTGTTATATTGCTTTTTTGCAAGAAACCCATCTATCTGACACAGAGCATGAAAATTAAAAAAATCTTGGGCAGATAAGGCTTTCTACTCATCCCACCAGTCAGGGAAAAAAAGGGAGTTGTCATACTTATGCACCGGCAGATTAATTTCACACAAACGTTGCTACATCGAGACGCAGAGGGGAGATACGTATTAATTAATGGTACAATTGATGGCATTGAAGTATCGCTTGTAAATGTGTATGCACCCAACACGGATGAGCCTGACTTCATAAAGTCACTGTTTAAGGTAATATTGCAGCACAGTACTGGGCTGTTGTTGGGCGGGGACTTCAACTGTACTCTGTCACAACTATTGGACAGATTACCCACTCCAAAAACCCCACTCTCTAGAATGAGTAGGATGCTAAAATATCAGATAATAGAGACAGGTATGGCAGACGTATGGAGAAGCAGATTTCCCAGAACTAAAGACTTTACTTTTTACTCAAGCAGTCATGCATCCTACTCTAGGATCGATTATTTCTTTACCCCAAAGTCAGAACTATATAGAATAATAGATATAGAAATATTACCTATTACTATTTCTGATCATGCACCTGTTTTATTAAAATGGGACATAGGCCAACATCTAAACAATGGAGGCTCAATACATCCCTGCTTAATGATAAAGTATTCATCGCATTTATTAGAGAGGAGCTGAGGATATATCTAGAAACTAATACATCTACAGAAACAACACCTCTGATAATATGGGATTGTGCCAAAGCATTCCTTCGGGGCCGCATCATTTCCTTCACATCTGCGAGGAAAAAACAGAAGGATGCTAAATAAAAAGATTTGGAGGACAAAATCAAAAAATTAGAGTTCAAACATAAAAGAAACGCTTCAGCTAAAATCATGAAGGAATTAAATGCAACCCGCAGACAACTAAACAGTCTATTGTCAGATAAAGTAGAGGGTAACTTGAGGTTCACTAATCAAAAATATTATGAATACGGCCAGAAGGCTAGTAGGTTATTGGCATTTAAACAGTCCGCCAACATGGTTCATAAAATAAAAACCCAAGAGTCTGTTGAGACAAGACCTGACAAAATAGCAGAGGCCTTTGCAAAATTTTACAAATCATTATATATGAACACTGATACCTGTAATAATGACCAAGAGCTCACAGATTTTTTAAATAAGATAAAATTGAACCATTTAACGGATGAGGGGGCTTTGGAATTGGATCAACCGATTGAGGAATGGGAGATTAAGCAGATAATTAAATCACTCAAGAACACAAAAGTCCAGGCCCAGATGGATTTGTCAATGATTTTTATAAAACTTTTATAGATCTCCTGGCTCCCTTGCTATTAAAAGCATATCATCATGCTTTAAAATCCAAAACTATGGCACCGTCTTGGACAGAAGCCACTATAGTAGTAATTCACAAAGAGGGCAAGGATCCTACAGACTGCCAATCATATAGACCTATATCATTGCTGAACACAGATTTACGCATACTCACAGCAATCCTAGCAAGGCGACTTAACAAATTCATCACCCAAATCATACATCCTGATCAGACAGGATTTATTGTAGGCAGGTACTATGCCCATAATATAAGACGCTTGCTAAACCTAACAAGCGTTCAACAAGAAAGAAAGATCAAATCAGCGATCATATCCTTAGATGCCCAAAAGGCGTTTGACAGAGTGTCATGGAAATATCTAATTCATACTCTGAAACGTTTTGGATTTGGTCCACATTTTGTTGACTGGGTGCAAACACTTTACTCCTTCCCTCAGGCAGCAGTTAAAGTTAATGGCTTTAGGTCTGATAGATTTGCACTAGGTCGGGGGTGCAGACAAGGATGCTCGCTCTCACCCCTTCTGTTTGCCATTAGTATTGAACCGTTAGCCCAAATCATTAGAGATGATGCTAATATTAAAGGAATAGAAATCAGCAAGGAAATACACAAAATCTCATTATATGCAGATGATGTATTATTGTACTTGACTGAACCTAAATCAACAATCCCCCACTTAAAAGAGCTCATCTCCCAATTTGGATTTTACTCTGGCTACAAAGTCAATATAGAAAAAACGGAAGCTATGGACATAAATGGCACAATTTCAGACTCCGTAAAAGTACAGAGTGGCTTCAAGTGGCCCAAGAATGGTATCAAATATCTGGGTATTCAAATACCTCCATCTCTATGTGACCTTTATGAGGCAAACTATAGCAAGCTCCTACGTGTGATTAAAAATGATCTGGACCGTTGGAATACTCTCCCTATTTCTCTGATAGGCCGTGTTGTAAGTATCCATATGAATGTCTTACCAAGACTACTCTATTTATTCCAGATGCTACCTGTGGAAATTCCCAAATCTACCTTTGACACCTTAGATAAAATGATAACTGGATTCATTTGGCAAAGGAAGCGTCCCAGAATCAGACTGAAAACTCTGCAGTTATCTAAATCTAAGGGGGGCCTCAAACTCCCAAACTTAAAATATTATTACTGGGCTGCACAACTCAAGCCCTTATTGGTTTGGTTACAGAATAGTGCAGATACTCGATGGCTGGGAATAGAGGAAAGCATGTGTTCAGTACCACTGCAAGCATTACCTTTCTTAGATACTCCTGTAAAGGAAATGACAATCTTGACAAAAAACACCCTCAAAATTTGGAACAAAATACAATCGGCTTTTAAGTTATTAAAACAGATTTCACTTTTATCATGTATAGGATCTATGAAGACATTTGCACCAAACAACTTAGATTCTGGTTTCAAAAACTGGTCTAATTACGGACTGTCTCACATTCATCAATTAATTAATGATGGACATTTCAAAACCTTTGAACAGATGAAGAAAGAATTTGGTCTCCCTAAAACGGACTTTTATAGATATTTACAACTTAGAACCTTGACGACACACAACAATTGGACTAAACTTCACAAACCAATAGCTGGGGACACATGGGAAGAAATATGTACTGAAGCACATTTAACAACAAATTCTAATACATGGAGAGAATTCAAATGGAAAGTAGTAGTCCGGTTTTTCAGAACGCCAGCAATAACCAGTAAAATGGGCCCAACACAGCCCAGTTCATGCTGGAGAAACTGCGGGATGCAGAATGCAAATCACATGCATATCTTCTGGTCTTGTCCTAAACTAAGTGATTTCTGGAAGGACATTTTTGAAGCTCTCAGTGTTATTTTCAGGAGAAATGTTCCAAAAACTCCCTTGGTGGCAGTTCTGGGAGTAATACCCGATGGAATAGACAGGAAGGGTGATAGATATCTTCTAAGTATCTTGCTCACAGCAGCCTTGAAATGTATAACTATCAGGTGGCTGAAACCAGGGCCTCCTACATATAACACATGGATACAAAAAATCTGGGACATTTATCTGATGGAAGGAATCACATATTCCTTAAGGCTTCAAAAAACAGTTTTTGATATAAGGTGGAGCCCGGTCTTACCGTTACTAATTCAATGACGCCCTTACAGGATTGCTTGTTGGCACCTGTATGTACCCATGGGTCAGTTAGAATACCTTACTGTTTAAGAATGTGAGGACCATCCTATGTCAGAGGGGATTTAATTGTGTGTCTTGTATTTTTATTTATTTATTATTTTATTTTGTTGTTCTTGTGTGATGTTTGTACTGGTATGTATTCCTTATTGCCTATGTTAGATCATTTGATGTCTCATCTTTTGTCAAGTTATAATGCAGAAGATATATGTCAGTAAGAGACAGACGAATGCAACTGTGGACATGTGTTGTTAAAAATAAATAAAAATAAAGTTTAAAAAAAAAAAGAAATGTTAGTTTAAGTATTTCATTAGAAAGCTAAATATTGAGTCAGTTGCTTAACTCCATATTTATATTTAAGGTACTAAATATTTACTTTGGAAGCTAAATATTCAGTTTCAGTCTGAAAATACAGATTCTAAACTAGATATTTAATTTGAAAGCTAGATATTGCACTAACTATGTAGCTCAATAATTAGTAAGTGACTAACCAGTAGTTATTAGTCAGTTGTGTTTCTCCTCAGGACGTCGCGGCTGATCAGGACGTCGTGGTTCGGTTCTCCTCTGATTGCTGCAGCAGCGCCAACATGGAGCTGTGGCTCACCGCCGTCTGCGGATACAAAGCTCCTCTGCTGGTCAGAACCTCATGGCGCCATGACGGCAGACCGTTTCCATGGCAACAGATTAAACTAACCCGCTGGTTCCTCCTCAGGGTCTGGGCTGCTTCCAGGCCTGGAACATCCGGGCCGCGGGCGCCGCCGTCAGCGGGCCGGTCAGCGGTCAGCTCCTCGCTCTCTGCATGTTCTCGCTCACCGGGTTCAGTGCGTCCGGGGCGGCGGGGTCGCTGCTGACCTCCAGTGACCCCACCGCCCAGTTCTGTCTGTGCAGCATCCTCATCCTCAGCTGCAACCTCTTCATCCTCCTGGGCCTATTCTCTCCTCAGGTGACTACAGCTAGCTGCGTTAGCCCAGCGCGCTAATCATAGACCGCTTACGCTACTGCTAAACCACTACACCAACACACTATTTAGCTGAAGATAATGCTAAATGCTAACCATACACAATAGTTCCACTATTGCTAAATCACTATTGAAAGCTAATGCTAAACCAGTATTGAAAGCTAATGCTAAACCAGTATTGAAAGCTAATGCTAAATCACTATTGAAAGCTAAAGCTAAGTCACTATTGAAAGCTAATGCTAAATCACGACTGAAAGCCAAAGCTAAATCTCGACTGAAAGCTAATGCTAAATCACCATTGAAAGCTAAAGCTAAATGACTATTAAAAGCTAATGCTAAATCACGATTGAAAGCTATTGCTAAACCAGTATTAAAAGCTAATGCTAAACCAGAATTGAAAGCTAATGCTAAACCAGTATTGAAAGCTAATGCTAAACCAATATTGAAAGCTATTGCTAAACCAGTATTGAAAGCTAATGCTAAACCAGTATTGAAAGCTAATGCTAAACCAGTATTGAAAGCTAATGCTAAACCAGTATTGAAAGCTAATGCTAAATCACTATTGAAAGCTAAAGCTAAGTCACTATTGAAAGCTAATGCTAAATCACAATTGAAAGCCAAAGCTAAATCACGACTGAAAGCTAATGCTAAATCACTATTGAAAGCTAAAGCTAAATGACTATTAAAAGATAATGCTAAATCACGATTTAAAGCTAATGCTAAACCAGTATTGAAAGCTAATGCTAAACCAGTATTGAAAGCTAATGCTAAATCACGATTGAAAGCTAATGTTAAATCATGACTGAGAGCTAATGCTAAATCCCTATTGAAAGCTAATGCTAAATCCCTATTGAAAGCTAATGCTAAACCAGTATTGAAAGCTAACGCTAAACCAGTATTGAAAGCTAATGCTAAACCAGTATTGAAAGCTATTGCTAAACCAGTATTAAAAGCTAATGCTAAACCAGTATTGAAAGCTAATGCAAAACCAGTATTAAAAGCTAATGCTAAACCAGTATTAAAAGCTAATGCTAAACCAGTATTGAAAGCTATTGCTAAACCAGTATTGAAAGCTAATGCTAAACCAGTATTGAAAGCTAAAGCTAAGTCACTATTGAAAGCTAATGCTAAATCACGACTGAAAGCCAAAGCTAAATCACGACTGAAAGCTAATACTAAATCACTATTGAAAGCTAAAGCTAAATGACTATTAAAAGCTAATGCTAAATCACGATTGAAAGCTAATGCTAAACCAGTATTAAAAGCTATTGCTAAACCAGTATTAAAAGCTAATGCTAAACCAGAATTGAAAGCTAATGCTAAACCAGTATTGAAAGCTAATGCTAAATCACGATTGAAAGCTAATGCTAAACCAGTATTGAAAGCTATTGCTAAACCAGTATTGAAAGCTAATGCTAAACCAGAATTGAAAGCTAATGCTAAACCAGTATTAAAAGCTAATGCTAAATCACAATTGAAAGCCAAAGCTAAATCACGACTGAAAGCTAATGCTAAATCACTATTGAAAGCTAAAGCTAAATGACTATTAAAAGATAATGCTAAATCACGATTGAAAGCTAATGCTAAACCAGTATTGAAAGCTAATGCTAAACTTGTATTGAAAGCTAATGCTAAACCAGTATTAAAAGCTAATGCTAAACCAGTATTGAAAGCTAATGCTAAACCAGTATTGAAAGCTAATGCTAAACCAGTATTAAAAGCTAATGCTAAACCAGTATTGAAAGCTATTGCTAAACCAGTATTGAAAGCTAATGCTAAATCACGATTGAAAGCTAATGTTAAATCATGACTGAGAGCTAATGCTAAACCAGTATTGAAAGCTAATGCTAAATCCCTATTGAAAGCTAATGCTAAACCAGTATTGAAAGCTAACGCTAAACCAGTATTGAAAGCTAATGCTAAACCAGTATTGAAAGCTATTGCTAAACCAGTATTAAAAGCTAATGCTAAACCAGTATTGAAAGCTAATGCTAAACCAGTATTAAAAGCTAATGCTAAACCAGTATTAAAAGCTAATGCTAAACCAGTATTAAAAGCTAATGCTAAACCAGTATTGAAAGCTATTGCTAAACCAGTATTGAAAGCTAATGCTAAGTCACGATTGAAAGCTAATGTTAAATCATGACTGAGATCTAATGCTAAACCAGTATTGAAAGCTAGTGCTAAATCACGATTGAAAGCTAATGCTAAACCAGTATTGGAATCTAATGCTAAACCAGTATTGAAAGCTAATGCTAAATCCCTATTGAAAGCTAATGCTAAACCAGTATTGGAATCTAATGCTAAACCAGTATTGAAAGCTAATGCTAAACCAGTATTGAAAGCTAATGCTAAATCCCTATTGAAAGTTTCCTCGGGCTTCAGCTTCATCCTGCTGCCAGTTTCTTAACCTTTTGTCTGCAGGTTCTCTGCTTGCTGAGCAGCAACAGCAGCTGCGGCACCGGGGAGCTGCAGCAGGTGTCGGAGCTGCAGCAGGTGTCGGAGCTGCAGCAGGTGTCGGAGCTGCAGCAGGTGTCGGAGCTGCAGCAGGTGTCGGAGCTGCAGCAGGTGTCGGAGCTGCAGCAGGTGTCGGAGCTGCAGCAGGCGGATACGGGTGTTGAGTATCTGAGGAGGAGAAACCAGGACCTGAGGAGTCGAAGCAGCCAGGTGAGTCGCTGCAGGTGAACGGCTGAGGGCTGCAGGTGAACGGCTGAGGGCTGCAGGTGAACGGCTGAGGGCTGCAGGTGAACGGCTGAGGGCTGCAGGTGAACGGCTGAGGGCTGCAGGTGAACGGCTGAGGGCTGCAGGTGAACGGCTGAGGGCTGCAGGTGTAACCGCGTCTCCTCTGGTTTCCACAGCTGGACGTCCAGATTGAAACCGTCGCCGTGGAGCTTTCTGCCACGCCGCAGCAGGAAACGGGTAACAGCCGCGCGCTCGCCCACAGGAAGCTGCGTTTCTGCTGCTGACCCGAGTCTCTTGCGTTTCTTCAGGATGCGGCGCGGCGAGACCTCCAGCTGAGGAGAACGTCAACTCCCCAGAGCGGTGAGCATCATCGTCGTCATGACAACGCTCACTCTTATCACAGAGCCGCCATTTTGTTCTAGCTGCTTGGAGCGGGGGTTCCTCAGGGCTTGGACGACTTCTGTTCCCATTTATTGAAAACGTTTCAGCGGTCCTGATATCTGCTGCTGTTTCCTGTCTCTGAAATACAAACGATGTGCTGAACCTTTCAAAAAAAACTGATCCAGATCAAATATACCAAAAATGATTTGACTTCAATTAAACAAATAAAAATGTTATCCCAAAAGCAAATTAAAATTGTGACCAATCAGTGAACGATGTTTCAGAAGAGCAGCCAATCAGACAGAAGCACGGGGCGACAGTGGAGGGAAAATGTTCAGCTGAACATTCAGTTCATTTCTTCTCAAACAACTCATTACCAACGCTTATAGGACAGGTTCTGATTAGTTCGGATTGGTTCTGTTTGACCCAGTTTGGTTCTGTCTGGTTCTGCAGCGTCCGGCGCCGGCTCTCCATGCAGCTGCCCATCCTCCATCACTCCTACCTCCCTGTCGTCGGCGGCGTGCGCTCCAGCAGCTCCAGCCTCTTCGGCGAACAGGAAGTCGTCGCTCCCCGCCATCAGGACCACTTCCTGTATAGCTAAGGACAGGAAGCTGCTCAACCAGGAACTTCCTGTGGGAAAATAGAACGATGAATATGAACTGTTGTTGAAATATTTAGACAGAATAAATTATTTTCCTTTTCTTGTCATTATTTTGTAGAAATGTTGTTAATAAAGGATAAAAGCAACAAAAGGTCCAACCTGCATGTTCTTTCATGTTTACCTGAGAACATAAAAATGACCTTTGACCTTTGATGTTAAAGCAGAGAGTAAATGTTCCAGCTGAAGGTCAAAGGTCAGCAGGTCTGATTTTTGCATCTCTTTGCTTTGGAAGCAGATCAGGAACATCTGGACTTACAAGATCAGACCAAAGTTCAACTCTGAAAGCTGCTCAGAACCAGAACAGAACCGGAACAGAACCAGAACAGAACCGGAACAGAACCAGAACAGAACCGGAACAGAACCAGAACAGAACCAGAACAGAACCGGAGCAGAACCAGAACAGAACCGGAGCAGAACCAGAACAGAACCAGAGCAGAACCAGAACAGAACCAGAACAGAACCAGAACAGAACCGGAGCAGAACCAGAACAGAACCGGAACAGAACCAGAACAGAACCGGAGCAGAACCAGAACAGAACCGGAACAGAACCAGAACAGAACCGGAGCAGAACCAGAACAGAACCGGAGCAGAACCAGAACAGAACCGGAACAGAACCAGAACAGAAGCGAAGCAGAACCAGAACAGAACCGGAACAGAACCAGAACAGAACCAGAGCAGAACCAGAACAGAACCAGAACAGAACCAGAACAGAACCGGAGCAGAACCAGAACAGAACCGGAACAGAACCAGAACAGAACCGGAGCAGAACCAGAACAGAACCGGAGCAGAACCAGAACAGAACCGGAACAGAACCAGAACAGAACCGGAGCAGAACCAGAACAGAACCGGAACAGAACCAGAACAGAACCGGAGCAGAACCAGAATACAACCAGAACAGAACCGGAGCAAAACCAGAACAGAACCAGAACAGAACCGGAGCAGAACCAGAATAGAACCGGAACAGAACCAGAACAGAACCGGAGCAGAACCAGAACAGAACCGGAGCAAAACCAGAACAGAACCGGAACAGAACCAGAACAGAACCGGAGCAGAAGCGAAGCAGAACCAGAACAGAACCGGAACAGAACCAGAACAGAACCGGAGCAGAACCAGAACAGAACCGGAGCAGAACCAGAACAGAACCGAAGCAGAACCAGAACAGAACCGGAATACAACCAGAACAGAACCAGAACAGAACCGGAGCAAAACCAGAACAGAACCAGAATACAACCAGAACAGAACCAGAACAGAACCGGAGCAGAACCAGAACAGAACCGGAGCAAAACCAGAACAGAACCGGAACAGAACCAGAACAGAACCGGAGCAGAACCAGAACAGAACCGGAACAGAACCAGAACAGAACCGGAGCAGAACCAGAATACAACCAGAACAGAACCGGAGCAAAACCAGAACAGAACCAGAACAGAACCGGAGCAGAACCAGAATAGAACCGGAACAGAACCAGAACAGAACCGGAGCAGAACCAGAACAGAACCGGAGCAAAACCAGAACAGAACCGGTGCAGAACCAGAACAGAACCAGAACAGAACCGGAACAGAACCAGAACAGAACCGGAGCAAAACCAGAACAGAACCAGAACAGAACCGGAGCAGAACCAGAACAGAACCAGAACAGAACCGGAACAGAACCAGAACAGAACCAGAACAGAACCGGAGCAAAACCAGAACAGAACCGGTGCAGAACCAGAACAGAACCAGAACAGAACCGGAACAGAACCAGAACAGAACCGGAGCAGAACCAGAACAGAACCGGAGCAGAACCAGAACAGAACCAGAACAGAACCGGAGCAGAACCGAAGCAGAACCAGAACAGAACCAGAATACAACCAGAACAGAACCGGAGCAAAACCAGAACAGAACCGGAACAGAACCAGAACAGAACCGGAACAGAACCAGAACAGAACCGGAGCAGAACCAGAACAGAACCGGTGCAGAACCAGAACAGAACCAGAACAGAAACAGAATACAACCGGAACAGAACCAGAACAGAACCGGAACAGAACCAGAACAGAACCGGAACAGAACCGGAGCAGAACCAGAATACAACCGGAACAGAACCAGAACAGAACCAGAACAAAACCGGAGCAGAACCAGAACCAGAACAGGTATCAGATATCATCGCTCAGCTGAGGAGTATAAACACATTTTACGTTTCTTTAACAGCAGAGAGGAGAAATCATCAAAAGACAAAATGAAGGTAAATTATGTGAGTGAGTCCCTCTAGCGGACAGGAGTGGAACTGCAACCCAAATTTATAGCAGATTTATGCTAAGCTAGTTGAAAATGAATAGAAATAATCTGGGTTATTCAGCCTGATATGACAGAAAGACAGAGAGGTTCATGTAATTCATTCATTTATAAATATGAATTTAAAACTAAATAAGTGTTTCATATACAAATCAAATTTTGCTAAAATATTGGCTAAATATTTCACTCCATACTAAATGTTTAGTTTGCTAACTAAGTAGTTAGCTAGTAAGAAGCTCAATATTTAGCCAAAAGCTAAAGTTAAGAAGCTAGATCTTGTAGCTAATAACTTAGCTCCTAACCAAATATTTAGTTTGTAAATAAAATGTAGTTAAGATGCTGCATATTTAGCTTAACTGAATTCTTAGTTAGCATGCTAAATATTTATTTTCCAATCAAATATTCAATTCACAAGATAAATATTTTAGCTAATCAGTTAGCTCTAAATATTTAATGTAAAGAGAAAAACGTTGTTTGGAAAATAAAATTATATTTAGCTTGTAGCTAAAAACAGTTTTAGACACAAACTAGTTTTCAAACTAAAAAATTATTTTGAACCCGACATTAATAAATGACTGAATAACATGAACCTGAAAGATCCAACAAGCTGCAGTTTGTTCCTTAGAGGTGGTTCTGCAGAACCAGCTCGTGTTTTTCTGCCTGTTGGACTTTCAGCCTCTGCTGCTGTTATGAAATCTGCAGTAGAAAAGCCCAGTGAGCGCCGAGTGGGAGGAGGTTCTGGACTCTTTATTAGCTGGGCCGGACCTCCGGCCACAGACCTGTCCACCATGATGTTCTGCAGAGTTCTGCTGTGTTCAGCCGCTCTGGTTCTGCTGGTCGGTTCTGTGGAGTCGTCGTCTGGAGGTGAGGCGCCTTCAGAACCGCTCCGCGGTTTGCAGCCCGACTGACTGTTTTCCAACAGGATCCACCGGCCCCCTCAGCTACGACCTGTCCGGTTCCGACCTGACCGACCTCTACAACAAGCGGGTTCACCTGGCGGAGGCGATGCGGCGGCCGCTGGGAAACCTTCCTTTTACATGTGGAGTCATCAGCCACTGCAGCGTTCGGTCAGTGAAACTGAAACCTCCTGATAAATGTAAAGTTTAGCAAAGATCCTGGAGAACCGATGGAGCTGGAGCTCAACTCAGCAGCCAGGAAACATCCAGTCATCAACTACGGAACCAGAACTTATCAAAGTGCCATCAAAATCAACATGTTGCTCAACGCTCCACTGATCATGGTTCTGTTGCTCCAACCAGACGGTTCGAGCCTTAAGGGAACTCAGTGTTTCGGCTGCTCTGCAGTTTTCTGGAAGTTTGTTCCAGATCTGTGGAGCATAGAAGCTGAATGCTTCTATGCAGAACCAGAACCAGGAGACCTGGAAGGTTGATCCAGCAGTAGCAGATCTTTAAAATGTTCTTCAGCTGATGGAAGACCGACTTTGGAACCTTCTTTATGTGGCTTTGAAGGTCAGAGGTCAGCCTAAGTTCTAGTTTCCAGCCGGACGAGCTGAATATGACTCCAGATTTATAACTCTAGATTCATAACTCTAGATCTATGACTCTAGATTGTTCCTCTTTAGGTCCAAAGACTGGACCTTCAGTTTTGTTTCTTTCCATCCACACATTTCTGTCCTCAGGTGGGTTCGAAGGTCAGCTGGTGACGTTGTAATTTAGGGATGAGTATCATCTGTGTTGTCATGGTAACTGATCCTGAGAGCTCCTGGTTCCTTTCTCAGATCTATAATTTAAACCCGGTTTGAGTTGTTGGATCCGGTTCTGATCTGTTTGGGTCAGAACTGATCAGCTGTGATCAGAACAGCTTCAAATCCGGTTTTCTCTCTGGAGTCTTTTTTCAGGAGTTAAAGGGCCAGTATTGAGTAAGTATCGCCATCTTGTGGTGAGGTTAGTTATAGCAATCAGAGGTAAATTTCACATCACTTCAAGATGGCGGCTCTGTGACCTTCAAGATGGCGGCTCTGAAACCTTCAAGATGGGGGCTCTGTAACCCTCAAGATGGCGGCTCTGAAACCTTCAAGATGGCGGCTCTGTAACCTTCAAGATGGCGGCTCTGTAACCTTGTGGTTTCTCTGCAGAGTGACTCTGGCTGACCAATCTCAGTGGTTGATCCATAAAGGAGGCGGATACGGGATTTTCTCTCAGACGGTGGTGACCGATGCTTGACACATGAGCTCCAGGTGGGAGGTGAGCAGCAAACATACCAAACATCTGAGGTACAACAGCGCCACCAAGTGTTAGTGGTCAGGACTGGTTGATGTTGTTTTGACTGGTTGGGTTTCTGGGATCCAACTGTTAGCTGACATTGAGAAAATTCGAGAAGCCGGACTTTCCCCAGTCCAGAACCAGTTTGGACTGGTTTTTGAGACCAGTGACTGTGGGAAAGCTGCATGTTTGTTCTGACTATAAGACATTTATGGGACATCACGAGAATACTTAAATTATACAACTTTCTCCTCCATATGTTTTTACCATCTCATTTGATCTTACTAAACACCAGTTTGTTTCTGTGAAAAAGTCGCCCATTTTTCCACATTAGTTTGTTTCCAGCGTTCCTTTTTCTCCACCTGCTCTTTTGTTTCAAACGCCGCTGATCAACAGGGTGAGTTTCTGGAGAAAAGTCTCTGTTTCCAGATGCTTGTAGCATCTGGAAAGGCTGCTGTAGCAGGCTACAAAACAAGGCTGAGACGAAGCAGACGGAGCAGCATCACCTCCAACCTGCTTATTCCTCTGAGGTTCCTGATGGAAACGTCCAGGTCCGTTAAATAAAAATGTGATTTTTGCAGATTTATACTGATTGCAAGTCGTCAAGCTGCTGAATTTGGAACAGCGCATGGCAGCCACTTTAGTTTTGGACAAATGAACCCATCAACTGGCTTAACAACAGTCCAACGTTACGGACTGAAGATTTTTACTAAAAGTTGTCAAAAGTCCACATCAGCAACATATGATATGATGAAAACAAGAAATTAATACATGTTTCAAAGACAATAAATGTAATTTACATGCAAAACGGTGTTGGAAGGTTGAACTTGATGATCTATGGATTGAAATAATCAAATATAGGTAAGACATTTAAATCCTAACATTTAAATCTTCACAGTGGGAGCAGGAAGAGCCTGCAGTGATGTCACTTCCGGGTTGTTCAGGAAATTGGACTGAACCATTATTTATAAAAAAAGAGGGATTGGTTTGTTGTTACTGGGTTAAACAAAACTGGAGGGACGTGATTAAAAAGTTCTGTTTTATAAATAATTCATGTGTTTTATCCTAATTCTTTTTTTGTGTTAAAGTATAATAAAAATGTTTATGTTATTATAAATAACTTTCAGTTTCTGGCTATTTGTATTTGTTTTATATTCAGTGAAGAGTTAACAGTGGGAACATGGCTGACCTCCACAACACATAAAAACTATCAAAACATCATTTTTAAAATATGTTTGCATGTTGCATTACCAGGACACATGGATATCACCAGTGCTTGATTTTCTCAAATAATGTTTTTTGCATTACATGGAAATCTATGAGATAAAGACACAAAAAGCACCAAATTCAGTAAAGGACCCGGATGTCATTCATCTTCTTCTGAACTGATACTAAACTAGAAAAACCAACAATGAATCGATATATTTACCAATACTGAGGCGATGTCCGAGGCAAGCGGGACCAGGCGACCCAGTTAGCATTAGCATTAGCGTTAGCATTAGCTAGGAAGGAAAATGCTTCTCTGGACCAACGTGGCCTTCAACCATCGTGAAGTTTGTCCTCACTGAGCTTCTGTACCTGAGAATCTTGAACCGAAGCTCCAGAGACGTCATTACGCTCCAACATTACGCTATTCAGATGTCGCCATTCTGTCGGCGCTGTTTGTCCGAACATCCGGGAAACCGTGACGTCATGTGCGAGCAGCGCCACAGAAGCTCTTTGGCAGCTTCCCAAAAAAAATAAATAAATAAATAAAAAATCTTTGGCAACTTCCTTCCGGAAATTGTTTCATGATGGACCCACTTCCTGTCTGCAGGTCTACAAGTTCAAGGACTTCCGGGGAACCAAGACGGTCTCGGACCTTGTTGGAGCCGGAGGCCCGACTACCGGCTGATCGGGGACAACTGCCACAATGCCTGTGACAACATCATGAATCACTGAATTTTCCATCATTTCTGATAATAAACATGAAGCCTGAACGTGTTGTGTCATTTTTATTCCACTAGAGGGCGCAAAGCAACAGAAATTGATCACCTGCCGGTTAAGAACCAAAACATGTTCCGGTTCTGAACACCTTATATTCTGGAGACTACTTAGTACCTGGTCCGAGAGGGGACCACCGGGGCCAACTGGGACCAGCAGGGATGAACTGGGACCAACAAGGGGAGGAACTCTGGTTCCGGTCGGCCGGGTCCAGACGGACAGAACCAACAGAGATCAGTTAGTTTGAGAAGCTGCGGGTCTCTGAAGTTCCGGTTTCATGATTTTGGTCAAACTGTGCAAGTTTTGCTCCCAGGAGGAGAGCAGAGGAAGAGCTGCTGCTCTGATGGAAACAGGCTGGGGAGGGGCAGCAAAACACCGTACAGAAATTAAAAACTGAAAGAAACTCATCAAAAATTTCAGTTTTCCAAAACTTAAGCATCTGAACTCTGCTTGTCATCTTTAACAAACGACCAGTTTGACTTTTTACTGTTCATTTTATTTTTTTTATGTTTTCCATCAATAATCTTTGACACTTTTATTAGTTCTGAAACATAAAAATGCTGAGATGCAAAGAAAAGGTGAAAAATAAATGCAACAATTAAGTTCAAACTTTTCTTCAAATTACAAAAATAAAGTAATATTATTATAAACAGTCAGAATGAGAAAATAAAGTTAAAAAAAATAACACGAGAAAGTCGGAACAGTAAAATAAAATAAGTTGTAAAAACAAGAATAAAATTGTAACAAGTTGAAAGAGTTGAAAAATAAAAATGTGAATAAATTTTACATTCAGTTGATTGTTGGGATTTTAAAATTTCGAATAATTCAATGTTTTCCAGTTCACATTTCTTTTCTCGTGTTAATTTTTAAAAACTTAATAGTCAGTTTTATTTATTCTGCCAACTTTCAGAAAGAAAATCCACAAAATAAATGAAACAACTAAAAATCTAAATTAAACCAGTTTGTAAAAACCTTTCAGGTAATTTCTGGTCACTGAAGCAATTTTATAAGCTGAAAAACTTCAAAATAAAAGCATGTCAGTCCAAACTGATGATTTCACTTCCTGAGGTCAGAGGTCGCTGACAGCGCTCCGACTGAGCGACCTTTCTCAACCCCCTTCTCTCTTCCTCTTTTCTCGCCTCGGTGGTTCAGGACCAGAGGTGGAAGATGCAGCCGCGGAGTTTTTCCTCCGGTGGAAAGCGAAAGTTAACGCCTCGAGTCTTTGTGGCAGAAAGCAGCAGAAAAGCCCCCACCCCCACCCGCTGCTGAGCCGCTCACCCCTGACCCCCTCAGGTGAGATAGTTCCTGGTCTGCTGGGAGCGCAGCAGCGGCGTCTGCGTGTCCAGGTCTCTGGAGAAGAAGGACAGGCCAGCGCGGCGGAGGTGTAGGCGCGTCCAGCCGTACACCAGGCAGTTGAGGAAACCCTGAGAGGCCGAAGTGAAGGCCTAGAAAATACACACTGTCACTTTAAGAACAGAAACAGGAACAAAAACAACACAAAGTGACCTGAAAGAGGCAGCATCAGGTGTTTTCACTTTCTGACTATGTTACCTTCAGGTGCTATAAAAATTACTTCTTGAAACTGGATCTCTGTCCCTTTAAGAAGGTCCAGCTGAAAACTTTCAGTTTTCTGTTCCAATCATTATTTACAGTGTAGGTGTTTCTTGTTGTTGTTTTTTTAAACTTCTCTCACAAAATAAAACTTCCTCAACCAAACATCTGGATTTTACCAACAATTCATTTACACTTTGCAGTTGTAAAAGAAATTCTATTAAATATGACTTTAAGGAAAATTTACTTCCTGACTTAGCACCTTGAAATTGTGCCTCTGTCTCTTTAAGAAGCTCCGCCTCCAGGAAGTCGTCCCAATATGGCTCTCTTTAACCCTTTAATGTTTTTACCAGCACTGCTTTGAGCAGCAGCTCCTATAACAAGCTCAGCAGTTGTTTGCTAATTGTTGCTGGCTAGTCTGAAGGAGCAGAGTGGGGAGGCGGGGCTAGGTCTACCCAGGTGTTTCAACAGCTGAATGGTCGCCATGGAGATCAGAGAACTAACGGTACATTTCTGTTATATTTATGAACAATAAATGTGACATGATGGAAAATCTGACACTGGCCCTTTAAAAATCACCAAAACATCTCTTGATTAAAACGTGAAGCCTGATCAGTTGGAGCTCCAGGTATCGGCCCGGAGCAACCCGATCGGCGCCGAGTGCAGCGCTGACCTCAGATATGTAGAGGCAGACGCCCGCCACACCGTGACCCGTCGACGGCTTCGCCACCCGCAGGAACGCCAACGCCACGGCTGAAACAGAACGCACAGGGTAAACGAGACACCGTCGCCCCGCTGAGCGGCGGGTGTCACGGATCAGAACCGGAACACACCTGGACCCCAGCAGAACACGAACACTAGTGGGTACAGCAGCATCCGCACGTCCATCACCCGGAACAAGGCTCGCTGCTCATTGCCGAGGTAACCGCTGGACGTCACCGCCCGCCGGTAAACGCACCGCGCCTTGACCACCAGAACCTGGAACCAGAACCACAGAACCTCATCGTACAGAACCACAACGAAACTGCATCATAAGACCTGAGTGGACGGGTCAGGAACCGGGTCAGAGGTCAGGGTAAATGAAGCCTTGACACCCAGGGCTTTACCCCTCTACCTACACACAGGGCTTTACCCCTCTACATACACCCGGGGTTTTACCCCTCTACATACACCCGGGGTTTTACCCCTCTACATACACCCGGGGTTTTACCCCTCTACATACACCCGGGGTTTTACCCCTCTACATACACCCGGGGTTTTACCCCTCTACATACACCCGGGGTTTTACCCCTCTACATACACCCAGGGCTTTACCCCTCTACATACACCCAGGGCTTTACCCCTCTACATACACCCAGGGCTTTACCCCTCTACATACACCCAGGGCTTTACCCCTCTACATACACCCAGGGCTTTACCCTTCTACATACACCCAGGGCTTTACCCCTCTACATACACCCAGGGCTTTACCCCTCTACAAACACCCAGGGTTTTACCCCTCTACATACACCGGGGTTTTACCCCTCTACATACACCCGGGGTTTTACCCCTCTACATACCCGGGGTTTTACCCCTCTACATACACCCAGGGCTTTACCCCTCTACCTACACCCAGGGCTTTACCCCTCTACATACAGCCAGGGCTTTACCCCTCTACCCCTCAGCTCACCGTGATGCCCAGCAGGGTGAGGAGGAAGCTGCTGAGGAAGACTCCGATCTGGTAGGTGTGCAGGAAGCTGCAGCTGCGGCTGAGCTGCTGCCGCCCGGCTGCAGGAACAGCGCTCCGGTGTGCATCAGCAGACACCTGCAACACAGACACAGCATCAGCTCCGGACAGCGCCGCCGCGCTAACCTGTCTCAGACGAGTCCTCACCTGTACGGCTCACTAAAGTTGACCTGGCAGTGGCTGACGTTCCTTGTACGAAGACCGGGACCATGAGCAGCGCCGGAACCAGACTGAAACGGGAGAAACGGGTCAGCGGGGGGAGAACGGTCCAGGTTCACCTGCTGCTGGTTGCAGCCTGCACTCACCTTGACAACACGGCAATCATTTCGCTTTCAGCGACATGGTGTTGGAAAACTGAGGAAAGAAAAGATGCCAAGAATCAGAACCTCATCCAGGAACCAACAGATGTTTAACGCTCACCTGGTTTTATGGCAAAATATGGACATAAACATTTTAAAGACTGTTTGCTTCTTTAATAATAATAATACTTTTATGAACATTTTAGCTTTAGATTTCCTCTTCCTAAAGGCTAAACCAAGCTAACATTTACAACCTTTCAATATTATTTAAGAAATAGAAAGACAACTTTACATAAAGCTACTCTATGTCAACATGAATGAGTTGACAGAGCAAAGCTAACATAATGTTTAGATAAAGCATGTTAAACTGTTATGAGATTATCCAGTGTCTCATAGTTACAACTTTAAAACTTCAAATTATGACTTCCTGTTTGGCTCTTATTTTTGTCTTTTGGCAGAAATGGCCTTCCATAGAAAGCAGATAGCTTTAATGTCACTTCAAACAGAAGAAGACAAAAACGATAAAATAAAAGTTATGTTGAATCTGATTAAAGCTTCTGCTGCTTAATGGATCTTTAATATGGCTCTGTGGAGCTATATTCAACATGGCTACCGTTCAACATGGCTACTATTCAACATGGCTACCGTTCAAACATGGCTACTATTCAACATGGCTACCGTTCAACATGGCTACCGTTCAACATGGCTACTGTTCAACATGGCTACCGTTCAACATGGCTACTATTCAACATGGCTACTGTTCAACATGGCTACTGTTCAACATGGCTACCGTTCAAACATGGCTACTATTCAACATGGCTACTGTTCAACATGGCTACTGTTCAACATGGCTACTGTTCAACATGGCTACTATTCAACATGGCTACCGTTCAACATGGCTACTATTCAACATGGCTACCGTTCAACATGGCTACTATTCAACATGGCTACTGTTCAACATGGCTACTGTTCAACATGGCTACCGTTCAAACATGGCTACTATTCAACATGGCTACTGTTCAACATGGCTACTGTTCAACATGGCTACTGTTCAACATGGCTACCGTTCAACATGGCTACCGTTCAACATGGCTACTATTCAACATGGCTACTGTTCAACATGGCTACTGTTCAACATGGCTACTGTTCAACATGGCTACCGTTCAACATGGCTACCGTTCAAACATGGCTACTATTCAACATGGCTACTGTTCAACATGGCTACTGTTCAACATGGCTACTGTTCAACATGGCTACCGTTCAACATGGCTACCGTTCAACATGGCTACTGTTCACATGGCTACCGTTCAAACATGGCTACTATTCAACATGGCTACTGTTCAACATGGCTACCGTTCAAACATGGCTACTATTCAACATGGCTACTATTCAACATGGCTACTATTCAACATGGCTACTATTCAACATGGCTACCATTCAATATGGCTACCTGTATGGAGTAGCCGCTGAAGCAGCTGTTGAACTTCTCTCTGGTCAGCGTGTAAAGGTTCCACACGTAGTTCAGCGTGAAGAAGAAGGAGGCCATGTACAGAATCTGAAACAGAACAAAACGGTCCGTCTGGTTCCGACAGTAACGAGTTAAACCAGCAGCGGCGGACAATAGATGTAGGTCAGGCGTGTTTCTGCGTCCTGGTCCTGCTGCTCCATTTCCTCCTCAGTGACCAGTTCAGGACAGGTTCTGGTTGTTTGAGCCAAACGGGCCGGAACCTGCTGATCCCGCCTGCTTCCCGTCCTCGAGGTCCAGTTTAGGTTCTGTTGTCCTGCTTACTTTCTAACTTGGAATGCGTCACGTAAAGTGAAAATGACGTCATGGCTTTGAAAGAGCTCTGGGTTTCACATCCAAACCCAAACCGCCAAATACCGGAGCGAAAGAGGAACCGCCGGGCCCGGACTGGAATCCGACCCGGTTTCACCACCGAGCAACGACTCAGGACAAAATGGAGGAACAAGCCAACAAATAAAATGGACTCAACTGTATTTATATATTAAAAATCATCCACTTTTGTCTTCTTCCGGCTGCAGTATTTACTTTTATTCACGTTTTAAGTTTAAGGGTTAGAAATGGGAGAAAACTCCTTATCGAGCTAGCTTTGCGGCACTTAGCGCCTGTTTACGCATGCGCAGTGACCTAAGAATTTTTCGTTGTAATGCAAGTGAAGGAACATTACCGCCCCCAACTGGTGAGGCCAGCCTCTGCATCAACCAAGTGACGACACTTTATTTTGATATGAGGGGTTGATGTGTTTTTTATGGCATGTGATCTATATCATATTTCATGTTATGTGATTGACCTCTGTGGCTGACTGTTGACCCCACAGGATTTATCTGCCAAATGTAAAACTCAAAGCTGCTGGGGGAAAACCCCAGACAGCAGCTTCCAGTTCAGCTCCTGGTGTCAAAAATAAACCTGAAAACAGAAAACACTAAACTCTACTTTCAGAGGAACTTTCTAAAGCTAAAAACAAAATGTTTATGCTTTAATCTCAGAAAAACAAAATGTTCTCCAGCCTCTAAATTCTCACAAACTTAACCTGAATCAATTTTATTCACTTTAAACTTTATTTTTACACCTGGCTGAACTGATCTTTTCTCATTCTGCTACTTTCTCCTACTACTCTCCGATTTGCATCATTTGCTGTTGTTCAACTTAGGGATGAGAATCTGTCGTACCATTTATAACATATTTTGTTATAAATGATCAGTTTTGATCTACTGTAGGATAATTTTCAGTTACTGATGATAAATAATAAATCTGTGTTATTTTTACAGTTTGAACAAATTTAGTTTGTTCAATAAATTTCATCTTAGTTCAGTGAAAAAAAATCACACTTTTTATTTTTATCTTCAGGATCCTGTTTCATATGGAAATGTTTTTCAATATTCATGTTTGTGGTTCAGTTACCTAAAAAATAAGTAATATCGTTTGTTTTTTTTATCTTAATCATTATCATAATAGTCATCTTTCATTGAAACCAAACAGGATTTTTGAGTTGAATCCACTGAAATGTTTCAGTGGGAACCAGCAGCTCAGCCTGCAGCTGCTTCTGACGGGTCCAGGCTGCGGTTTCTGTTTGAGGAAGCTGAGATTTTCTAACAGTGAAGGCTTTGAGGAGGAAAAAGGAGCCACTTCCCGATAAAACTCATAGAAATCCCTCAAAGTTCCCCAGAAATCCCGCCAGACTCCCCGGAGCGGCGGCGCGGCCGTTACCTGCTCCACGGTGTGCAGGTTGTAGCAGAGCAGGCTCAGGCGGTCGCAGCGCTGAGAGTAGAGGACGGCGCCGACCAGCCAGCAGGCGGCGAGCAGCAGGTCGGCCACGCTCAGCTGGAACAGAGGCTGCAGCTGCAAACAGGACAGCGGCAGTCAGACACCGGACCTCTGACCCCTCAGGTCAAAGGTCAGCCGGACGACCTCGAAGGCACTGACCTCGGGCGTCTGGCTGAGTCTGGGAATAATCAGGGAGATGATGGAGCCAGAGCCAACAATGCTGCAAATATTCAGAGAAAATGTTTAAAAGTGATATTAAAACACATTGAATGTTTCTGAACCAGGATGAAACACAAATCAAGGAGAAACTACTGCAAGCGAAGCTGAAATGAAAGAAATGAGCAAAAATCTCAACATCCTTTCAAATATTTTCTCAGGTAAATTACAAACTAACATAAGTTTAGCTAAATTAAATGAAACTATCGTAGCTCTGCACAAACAGGAACTTTGTCTGTCTGTCTGTCATTTACACATTTTGTCCTTTTTAAAGAAATTTACTATAAACTTTCAATAAAATATATGAAATATAAAAACAAATGTAACTTTTATTTCAAAATCTTTTAAAGACCTTTGCTTCTCATCTACCTCTGCATCGCCATGGAAACGTCACCTTGACGTCCAGAACCAGAACCGGCAGAACCAGAACCGGACCAAGACGTCCAGAACAGCTAAAATTAGCCTAAAATCTGTTCCTTCCTGAAATGTTTTCACTGCAGAAACAAATAAATGTCATTTAATCCGAGGAACCGACCTGAACGACGCCATGATGAGCTGGATCCACCGGACCGCTTCGTACACCTGCAGGGGAAAACAGCACGTTCAGAACCCTGCAGAACCGACCAGAACCCAGCAGAACCGACCAGAACCCAGCAGAACCGACCAGAACCCAGCAGAACCGACCAGAACCCAGCAGAACCCTGCAGAACCGACCAGAACCCAGCAGAACCGACCAGAACCCATCAGAACCGACCAGAACCCAGCAGAACCGACCAGAACCCTGCAGAACCGACCAGAACCCAGCAGAACCGACCAGAACCCAGCAGAACCGACCAGAACCCATCAGAACCGATGCTGATACGGATCTTCTCTTTACCTCCCAAAGCGTTCGTCTCACTCAAATATTAAGTTGAACATAAAGGAAAATTTATCAATCAAAATATTTAAATCGAGCTAAAAAACTTTATTAAGATAAACTTTAGTTACATATTTAATTCGATAATTAAACTATATTTATCTTAATAACTAAAGTGAAATATTTACAAAGCATGGTGTTCACTTTTACACTAAATATGCAGTTAGCAAATGAAATACATAAACCTGCTATTAAATTTAGTCTTTGCTCATTTTAGGATTTTTGTTTTTGGGTAAAATATTCCAGAACATTTCTAAATGAAGGAATAACTTGGTGAAAATCTGAGGTTTAATAATCCAGATTACTGCTGTTAATCCCAATTACTGGATCCAACAGGAAAGTGAACTATTGAGGGATCAATGAGGAGAATCTGCTGCGGCGGAACCGGTTCGGCTCCCTGGACCCAGAGCCTGTCAGTCTGTGCGGAGGGAATAATGACCCACAGCGTTAAAACTAAAATAAACGGAAAGAAATAAAGAACCAGAAACACTTCATTACATGTTTATAGTTTCTATACCAATGAAAGAAGTCCACTTTTTTTTTTTTTACTGAAGTTTCAAAAGTTTAAATTTGATGTTCCAATAATTAAATGGAAAAACTTCCTTTCTCCAGATGAAATAATGAGGGTTTTGCTGCTTTTCCAGATAATTTGGCAGCTTTTAGAGCAGAATCAGAGACATGTCCCGAACTCACCTGGGTCCAGTCCAAGGCCGCCGTGGTGTTGGCCTCCGGGCTGCGGGGCAGGCTGAGCATCAGCGGGGGAAACATGCTGGGGCAGGAGAGCTCTCTGGAGGAGCAGAACCAGGAACTGGCTTTTATCCTGCGGGGGGCGGGGCTTACCGCGTTAACCCCGCCCACCTGGCGGAGCTGCGGGTTTGTCTCTCAGGAGGTAGATTCTGGTTTCCTTATCGACTCTCTGATTGGATCAGAGCCGAGCTTCAGCTCCCATCCGGAGGTTCTGACCTCTTCTGGAACCCGAACCACAGAGTTACTGAGAATGTCTGCTGGCGCCCCCTGCTGGAGGAGATCCCGACCAGCTTCTGCCCCCATCAGTTCCTGTCAGTGGATCTGAGTTCAGCCTGGTTTCCATTGCAGTCCTTCCTTCCTCATATTCATCACATTAGGACTTAAAATGAGTTTCCAGTCTGGAAAGAACAGAAACTAGTGAAGCTTGGAGAGAAACTAAACGTTTCAGAGACTTTAGCTGCTTTTCTGCCAGGAGGTTAAATATGGAGAATAATGAGATCCAAGCAAACGTGACCAGATCTGAAATCAGCCACCATCTGACATCATTTTGAGACAATTAATAATAATTTAGGACATCTTCCCCTCCTGTTGGTCCAGTTCTATTGGAATCAGAACTACAACCTGTTCCCCTCCTGGCCTATGGGGGCGCTGCATAAAGAACCACTGAAGGAAACGACACAAAAACCTCTGTAGACACTGAGAGCAACTTCCTGCTTCACCCGATGGAAACAAGATGGAGGCGTCAAGATTTCTCTTTAGTCTTTGACTGAAGACCAGAAGCGCTAGGCTAGCATGTTAGCTTTGGCTGTACTTACCCAGAATGCCCTGTGCTGTAGTCCACTTCCTGCTTTTGGAGCGCTCTCTGATCCGCTTGGCGTTCAGATTCAAACCGAATCAGAGTTCACTTCAACCGAACCCAGACCGAGGTTTGGAGGACCAGAGGTCAGAGGTCGGTTAGTGTTCACACCTCACAACCCAATCAAAGCAAATCAGACTGGAAACCAGATTTGGGTTGAACTGGGAGAGAAGTTCCCACCTTCAGGAAACTGGAAATGGTAATAATAAGAGAATCTAGCACGGCGCCACCTGGTGGACGCCTCAGTACAACAGAACCAGCCTGGTGGAACCAGCAGGGAAGAACTTTTACACCCCAATCTGGAAGTTATTGGTAATTAAATGACCTCTGACCTCTGGATCAATGAGATTCAAACTCTTCATCAGAAACTTTCATTTGGATCAAATTTTTATTGTGGAGAATCTGACTATTTCGTCTTGGCCGGTCTCTCACCGTGCCCTTGAGCAAGGCATCGACCCATCAGACCGGAGTCTCTGCTTTGTTTGGCCCTTCTGAGCTCCTGTAGGAAGTTTAGCAGTGAATCTGTCGAGGTGACCTCATTGGGTTTTGGTGGACTGTGCCGCCGCCGGGTCGAGCTTTGGCTTGTCGGATTCGTGCTTCCTCATGTGCTTCCTGAAGATGCGGGCGCCGCTCAGGTTCTTCTTGCAGACGCTGCAGTAGTAGGGTTGCGCGTCAGAGTGCACGTCGATGTGGTAGGTGAGCTCCAGCGCGCGGCTGAAGCTCTTGCTGCACAGCGGGCATTGGTAGCGGACGCCCGAGTGCGTCAGCTGGTGGTTCTTCAGAACGCACAGCTGCTTGAAGGTCTTGGGGCAGAGGGCGCAGCGGAAGGGCCGGGCGTCGGTGTGGACGCGCTGGTGGCGGCGCAGGGCGCTGGAGAAGGTGAAGCTCTTGCTGCAGACGGCGCAGGTGAAGGGCTTCTCGCCGGTGTGGATGCGCTGGTGCTCCGTCATGTGGACGTGCTGCACGAAACTCTTCCTGCAGGTGGGGCACTGGAAGGGCCGCTCGCCGGAGTGTATGCGCAGGTGCTTCTGCAGCGCAGAGGCCTTGAAGCAGTCGCGGCCGCACACCGGGCAGCAGCTCTTGGATTTTCCCGTGGAGCGGCCGTCTGCTGCCGGGTCGGAGCTGATCTTTGGACCTGCTGGAAACACAAAGGGTCGGTTAGGAGCTGCCGGGTTTGACACGCTGCCATATGGAAGCTCTGTTGACGCATTTCAGAAAGACTTCAGTGACCTCTGACCTCTGATAATGTTCTGATCCGGTCCTGAGTCAATTCATTCCTAAACAATAGCATCTCAGTACTAAAATTATCCTATAGAAGGCTAACAGTAGCTTACCCACAGCTAATGCTAGGCTATCACGGCTAACAGCCATCAGATGAAGTAGCCATGCTAGTCACTAGCTCCTCCTAAGCTAATGCTAACTGATTTCCTCCTCAGCTATCAGTGCTGCTCCATCAATCGAACTGGCAGCTTCAGATGAGTAGCCTCCTGCTACGAGGAAGTAGCCTCCTGCTACAAGGAAGTAGCCTCTTTCTACGAGGAAGTAGCCTCCTGCTACGAGGAAGTAGCCTCTTTCTACGAGGAAGTAGCCTCCTGCTACGAGGAAGTAGCCTCTTGCTATGAGGAAGTAGCCTCCTGCTACAAGGAAGTAGCCTCCTGCTACGAGGAAGTAGCCTCCTGCTACGAGGAAGTAGCCTCTTGCTATGAGGAAGTAGACTCCTGCTACAAGGAAGTAGCCTCCTGCTACGAGGAAGTAGCCTCTTGCTATGAGGAAGTAGCCTCCTGCTACGAGGAAGTAGCCTCTTGCTATGAGGAAGTAGTCTCCTGCTACAAGGAAATAGTTTCCTACTACAAGGAAGTAGCCTCTTGCTACGAGGAAGTAGTCTCCTGCTACAAGGAAGTAGCCTCCTGCTACGAGGAAGTAGCTTTTTGCTATGAGGAAGTAGTCTCCTGCTACAAGGAAGTAGCCTCCTGCTACGAGGAAGTAGCCTCTTTCTACGAGGAAGTAGCCTCCTGTTACGAGGAAGTAGCCTCCTGCTACGAAGAAGTAGCCTCTTTCTACGAGGAAGTAGCCTCCTGCTACGAGGAAGTAGCCTCTTGCTATGAGGAAGTAGACTCCTGCTACAAGGAAGTAGCCTCCTGCTACGAGGAAGTAGCCTCTTGCTACGAGGAAGTAGCCTCCTGCTACGAGGAAGTAGCCTCTTGCTATGAGGAAGTACTCTCCTGCTACGAGGAAGTAGCCTCTTGCTACAAGGAAGTAGCCTCCTGCTACGAGGAAGTAGCCTCGTGCTATGAGGAAGTAGTCTCCTGCTACAAGGAAGTAGCCTCCTGCTACAAGGAAGTAGCCTTTTGGTACGAGGAAGTAGTCTCCTGCTACAAGGAAGTAGCCTCCTGCTACGAGGAAGTAGCCTCTTGCTATGAGGAAGTAGACTCCTGCTACAAGGAAGTAGCCTCCTGCTACAAGGAAGTAGCCTCCTGCTACGAGGAAGTAGCCTCTTGCTATGAGGAAGTACTCTCCTGCTACAAGGAAGTAGCCTCCTGCTACAAGGAAGTAGCCTCTTGCTACAAGGAAGTAGCCTCCTGCTACGAGGAAGTAGCCTCCTGCTACAAGGAAGTAGCCCCCTGCTACAAGGAAGCTGCTACGAGGAAGTAGCCTCTTGCTATGAGGAAGTAGACTCCTGCTACAAGGAAGTAGCCTCCTGCTACAAGGAAGTAGCCTCCTGCTACAAGGAAGTAGCCTCCTGCTACAAGGAAGTAGCCCCCTGCTACAAGGAAGTAGCCTCCTGCTACGAGGAAGTAGCCTCTTGCTATGAGGAAGTAGACTCCTGCTACAAGGAAGTAGCCTCCTGCTACAAGGAAGTAGCCTCTTGCTACGAGGAAGTAGCCTCCTGCTACGAGGAAGTAGCCTCTTGCTATGAGGAAGTACTCTCCTGCTACAAGGAAGTAGCCTCCTGCTACAAGGAAGTAGCCTCTTGCTACAAGGAAGTAGCCTCCTGCTACGAGGAAGTAGCCTCGTGCTATGAGGAAGTAGTCTCCTGCTACAAGGAAGTAGCCTCCTGCTACAAGGAAGTAGCCTTTTGCTACGAGGAAGTAGTCTCCTGCTACAAGGAAGTAGCCTCCTGCTACAAGGAAGTAGCCTCCTGCTACAAGGAAGTAGCCTCCTGCTACGAGGAAGTAGCCTCTTGCTACGAGGAAGTAGCCTCTTGCTACGAGGAAGTAACCTCAGAACTAATGAACAAACGGACCGGATCAGAACCGACCCAGCCTGCTTTACCAGTCTACTGGGAAATCTGGACCTCAGGAAGAACCATGTGAACCGGGTCGGAACCGGGTTGGAACCGGGTCAGAACCGTGGTCGTACCGCGGCGCTCCGGTTCCCAGCGCTCTTCCTCTCCATCAGAGTTGATCAAACCGCTGACATCCTCTTCCTCCCGCTGGTTCCCACCCTGGTCGCCATGGTTACCGGCAGGCTGCCCGGCGCCAGGCACGAGGACGGGGTCAGAGGTAGAGAGGTCACCGGGTCGGCACTGGAGGGAAACATGAGGAGAAGTTTCAGGCTCAACCAGAACCTTAAACCAGTTGGAGACTGGTGAGTTAACTGGTTCCTCACCTCTTCCTCCACACCTTCATCCTCCTTCCTCATCATCATCACAGTTTTCTTCTTCTGGCCGCCGGTCCGCATGTGGAGCCAGAACACCTGGAACAGAACCCGGGTCGGTCAGCAACATGGAACCCAAAGCAGCTGCTGTCCAGATCAGTACGGAGAGAAATCTGGTCCAATACTAAACATCACATTTACGCAGTTTGTAGTTTTTCTGATTGTTTTAGACACTGGCTTTGCTCCACACTGACCAATGGGAACGCAGCTCCCAAGGTTGACAAATAGGAATGTGCCTTTCTGCCCCCCACCGACCCCCCCCCAAACAAAATATGTAAAACGTGATTTGAAAACAATAGAATTTGTAAAACTTGAAAAATTTTAATCTGAAAAATGTAGGTTAAACTATTGATGTTTTGGCTCATTGTTCTTCCATCAAACCATCTGGAGGTCAAAGCTGAACCACTGAAACGTGGATCAGACAGAAACTGTGAACCCGTACAGTTCTGATGGTTCTGGTCACCTTGTCGGCCGGGTCCGGCAGCCGGCCCTCCCTGATATGGACCCTCATGTGTTCCCGTAGCAGGCAGGGCTTCAGGAAGCTCTTGGAGCAGATGCAGCAGCTGTGGTTTCTCTTCTTCCTCACCGCCAGACTCCTGCAGGTGGTCGGGGTCTCTGGGCCCGGCGGTTCCGGTCGCTGGTTTTCTGAGACTTCCTGGGCCTCCAGGTTCTTCTCTGGCTCTGTCCTGGCAGGGATCGGTTCTGTAGAACCAAAAACACAAGTAAAAGAGTCACAAACCCAACACAACCGACAGACTTCTGGACCCAAACGCTCCCTGAAGCCAAAGTTGTGATTTTCTCACCAGTCAGTGAAGGCAGTGACTCGTTGCTGCGGCTCTCCACCTGCAGGGCGGCGCTGGTTCTGTCCAGAGGCTTGTCTGGGATCTGGAACCAACAGAAGGTAACAGGTTTGAACCAGAACCAGCAGGGAGTTCAGATCCAAACCCATAGGAACTGTTCTGGTCCATGCGCCTCCAAGGCTTAGCTCCTCCCCACTCAGTTCCTTCAGACTAGCCAGCAGCAATTAGCAAGCAGCTGCTGCTCAGAGCAACTTTGTGTTAATAGAGGAACCATGTTGGGATGACTTCCTGGAGGCGGAGCCTAAGGAAAAGCAGGAGTTTAAAGAGACAGAGGACCAATTTCAAGGTGGTAAATCAGGAATAACTTTTTTTGTCATATTTAATAAAGTCAACATTTTCATAACAACTGAAGGTAACAGACCTGATTGTGCTATAAAATAGAAAACACATAATATTGCCCTTTAAATCAGCTGGAGTTTAACGTTCAAACCCTGCAGTTTCTCCCTCCTCACCGGTTCTGGCGGATCCGGACCGCCAGACGGTACGGTGTCGGGCCGGTGGTTCGGCCGGCTGTGGATCTCCTGGTGCTTCCTCAGCGCTCTCAGCACAGTGAAGCGCGTCTTGCAGACGTCGCACTGGAACGGCCGCTCCCCCGTGTGGGAGCGCAGGTGGTCTTTCAGCCGGGACGAGCGAGTGAACGAGCGGCTGCAGACGTCGCAGGAGAACCGGGTCGCGGCGTGGTACCGCCGCTCGTGATCCTTCGCCTCTTTGACGGAGGAGAAATGCTCCTGACAGAGGAAGCAATGGAGGGCAGCTTCTTCCTGCAGGATCAGAGAAGTTTTAGCTTAGCGCTTTAGCACGCTTGCTAACTTTAGCACATTTAGCTTCTCTCACTCAGTTTTCCTAGATAAATTTGAAGGAGCTGATTTCCTGGGCTATGAGGAAAACTTTCATTTCAATAAAGTTTGACATCTGTGTCAGGTCTTGGTTAGTAGCACTTAGGAATTCAGAGCAGTAGTTTATATTCACGCATGCTCTTATTTTGAAGTATGATTACAGATGAACTCTAGTTCCTCTTCCCAAATTCTTCACTGATAAAGTGAATGATGTCATTCTCTACCCAGAATGCATTGCAGTACGTCCACAGTGAACAGTCTAAACTCTCCTCATGCTTTCTGACTGAAGCGCTACGGTGGCTAGTTAGCAGCAGAGTTAGCAAAACTCAGCAGGTCGGTGCAATGACAGATTTGACGTTGCACATAATTTAGATACACTAAACAGCATGTTGATAAAATGCATAGAAAATTAATATTTATGTTAGCCGTACAGCATTGGTTTTCAATAGCTACATATTGGTATGATGCATTAGCAGAATGGTTCACACTTTACCATTAGCTTCCACTAATTCATTTCCACTAATTGACCTCTGACCTTCTCCAGGGTTCCATCCGCATGTTTCTGCAGGTGTTTCTGCAGGTGTTTCTTCAGGAGACTCGGCCGGTTGAAGCTCCTCCCACACAGTGAGCAGGGGTGGAGTTTGCGTCCCGTGTGGTTCCTCACATGATCCCGGAACGACGACGCGGAGGAGAAGCTTTTCCCGCAGAGCGAGCAGGAATGCTGCTTCTGCTCCTGGTGGGTCTTCAGGTGGTCGGACAGGCCGCTGCGGGAGGCGAAGCGTTTGGGGCACAGCGAGCAGGAGAACGGTTTCTCCCCCGTGTGGGTGCGCTCATGCTGGACCAGGTAGCGGCGCTGGACGAAGCCACGCCCACACAAGGAGCAGCTGAAGGGTTTCTCCGGGGAGTGGATGAGGAGGTGGCGGCGCAGGCAGCCGCGCTGGGCGTAGCTGACGCCGCAGTCGGGGCAGGAGTACGGTTTCTCCCCAGTGTGGACGCGCTGGTGCACCAACACGTTCACCTTCTTGGTGAAGCGCTTCCCGCAGACAGAGCAGCTGTGCGGCTTGTAGCCGTAGTGGGTGGCAACGTGGTCGGCCAAACGGGCCGGGCCGGCGAACTCCCGGCCGCACAGCGAGCAGCAGTGGCGCCGTTTGGGTTTGGGTTGGTCCGAGGCCGGTTCTGGAGTAGAGCAGAAACTTTGATGGTCAGGAGGCATCTGCGGGCCTGAAGGAACCAGAACCCAATTGGAACACCATCAGAATGCGATCAGGACCAAAACCCGATCAGAACTTTCACGCTCCAGATCAGAAGTTCTGATCATATCTAAACAGAACCGGACCAGATTCTGATCTGGTTCTTTGCAGACTTTCCCATTTCTATCATTCATCTTTCTAAAACGTTCTGATCGAACAAATTGTAAAACTAACATCTCAGCTCCTTATTCTTGAAAGAAAATGTTGTTTTCACCTTTAATCTGTTTCACTGATGGTTTCAGTTGTTTGGTTTTTATTTCTGTTTTATTTCCGGTTTCTGCCTTTTATTTTGTATGTTTAAAATGTCTTCCAGTTTAATGTTTCTGTTTAATTAAAGGTTATTGTCTTGAACTTTCACTTTATGCCGTTATCAATGTATTAGTTGAAAATGGCCGCCTTCTTTTCTTCCTGCAGCTCTACTCTTCCTCTCTCTCTCAGGCTGGAACCTGAGCAGCTCCACCAATCAGGAGCCACGTCAGAGCAGATCCCACCTGTCTCTCCTCCTATCAGATCCTCCTGTTCCATCCACCTGCAGTTATTCCAGTTCAGCTCTTTTCTCCTGACTTAGTGTCTACAAAATATAATAAGGGTAGAAACTACTAAGAATGCCCCAGATGTGCTGCTGTTAGTGATGTTTGGGGTGAATGCAGCTCTGACCTTCGTCTCCTCCTTCCTCCTCTTCCACCTTCACTTCATTCATCATCTTCTCTCATCTAGGCCTCTGGAAAAACACACATTTCTCTGAAGGATAAAGAAACAGAAATCACAGCTTGATCTCAAACATGTGATTTTAAAGCACTCAAATGAAAAGGTGCTTTACAGCAACAACATCTAATAAATAAACAATACTAATCATCACAATATAAAATATTCCAGCTGTTAAAGGCAACATACTGACTCTACTTTGTGGTTTATTGAGATTTTTATTGAGATAAATGAACCACATTAACCATTATTTAAACCATCTGGCAACAAACAGAGCTTCAGCCAATCAGAGAACACAATGGAGATCATTTCAGCCAATCAGAGAGCATTAACAGCTATCACTATTACGCCGCCAGCTAATTAGCTAATAAAAGCTGATTTATCTTCATTAAGCCTCAGCGCAAAATCAGAAGCAAACCACAGCAGCAGAATGTAAAGTAACTGTAGCCGAAAAATATCCACAACTGCCTCTTTTACCGTCAGAAATCCGGTGCTCACCGGCCCGAGCAGCTAGCATGGAGCTAACAGGAACAGTTCGAGAGGCTCCGACAGTTGAAGGTCCAGTTTGTTTCGTTTAAAGACGTAAACCGTCAGTTAACGAGTTTCAGAGATCCGGGGCTTCATGTTGGAGGTTTTCTATAAACGACAGCAGACAAGAATGAAACCAGAACCGAAACAACTGCAAGTAAAAACGTAGAAACTGGAGCTCACGGGCTCAATGCTGCCACCACCGGCAGGAGGGCGGTACTACAACAACAAACGAAGCGGTATTAACAGTAAAATTAATTTCCTTTTAGAAGTTAATGTAAATTTTATTTTTTATTCCAAATAACAAAGTAAGAACATTTTTACTTATGTTTTGTATGGTAGTGTGATGATTTACCTAAGAGGAGATATATATTTGTTTTTGAGACAAATATTTAAATGAATGAAACACTTTAAAGACACATTTAGTCTGTCATTGCCTGCAGACTCAGGAACTGTTTCATACTGTTAATACTGAAGAAAGTTATTTTTTCAAGGAATTTCCTTTATTTAACCAGATAAACCCCACTAACATCTGGATCTCATTTTCAACAGTGACCTTGGCAGAAATCTGCAATACAGAGCAACCAGGTTACAGAATAAAACTAATGGCGTTAAAAGAAGTTAAAAAGCAGGAGTTGTGTGTTTGTTGTTCTCCTCTTTCCTCTTCATGTCAGATCTGCTCAGAATATGGATCAGTTTCAGAAATTCACTAGCTTTTGCTTGAGGTGAGTTTTATGCTATGACTTCAACATTATTTTTATTTTATTTGCATTTTGGAGCATTTCTGTTATAAAGTTCAATATGAATAAAAGTGACATTGAATATTGTTGCTGTGGTATTTCTGAAATATAAGTCAGTTCTGACCTCTGTCTAGTCAAAGTAAATTCTGTTTGTCTTTGATGTGTTTGCAGATACAGATGTTTACACCTCTAAACAAATCAACACTGGCAGTAAAATGAACTCATGCCGATCATATTTAGACTGTATTCAGCCTGTTGGATGAACTGGCTGCTCTTCACATTCACATCCATAAATAATTACTTCAATAATTATGAACCAATTATTGAAATAATTGTCAGCTAGTTTAGTAATCAGTTAATTAACTGGAGTGTAAAGTCTCAAAGATCCTTTTCTGAAAGAATACTCAGAACATTAATCAAACCAAATCAGTACAAATGAATCTATACATTTCACATGTAATATGAAAAACATTGTGATACATACAAACATATATATATATATACATATGTTTATATATATGTGTGTGTTTCTATGTAGTCAAATCCATAAAGGTGAGAGCTAATTAAGTCTGAAACCTTCTAGCTGACAAACTTCTTTCATTATTAATAGCAGATTGAGTCTTGTTCAGTTTCAGGCAAAATCAACTCAAGTGTGGAACCAAACAGTTTTTATTGATCATTGATTATCAAACATGAATCCGGCAGCATTGTGGGCCTCATCTACTGCTTCTTCTTCACCACGTGAGCACAGTCATATTTTCCTCGAACCACAGTGAGTTTGACTCCGGGCAGGTCCTGTTTTCTGCCCCCCTGCACCAGAACCACGTTGTGCTCCTGCAGGTTGTGTCCCTCCCCGGGGATGAACACCACCGCCTCCTTCCCGTTGGACAGCCGCACGCGGGCGCACTTCCTGTTGGCTGAGTTGGGCTTCTTGGGCTTCCGGATCATCGTCTTCAGGACGACGGCTTTGAGCTGTGGCCGGCCGAATGTGGCGCCCAGAGTTTTAGGGGGAACCTTGGGCTTCCCCTGGCGGTGCATCTGGTTGAGAGTAGCCATGGTTCTGGAGAGGAGCGGCCCGGTCCAGGAAGAGGAGACCCGGGTCGCTGCAGACACAGAGAGCTGCTCATGTTTTACCCAGAAGAATTCCAGCATTTCTCTGTAGATATTGTTTCAGTTTCTGTCCAAAGCAGAAAAACATTTTCATCTTCAGCCTGCAGGAGGAAACTCACCGTGAACCAGCAGCTCCAGCGCCGGTCTGAGGCTCCAGAGGGAAGACATTCCTGGAACCAAAACCATCAAACTCAGAACCGGATCAGATCCAAACCACACAGGATTAAATCATCTCCGCTCCTGAAATGATCCTTTATTCATAATGTCCTGACAATCCCTAAGTCTCCCTCCAGAAATATTTAGAATAGAATAAATCTGACCCATATTATCATTTCAGATTTCCCCAAAGCTCATTTCAAGGCCGGTCCAGAACCAGTCATCAGATTATTCCTGCTTGGATTCACTGCCTCATGTCTCAATAGTTCAAAATCTGTTCAAACATCCCGAATTATGAAGAAACACCTACAGAATGTAAGTTATTTTCTAAAGTCTCCTCTGGAGCATTTTATCAGGTAAAACACATTTCTCTTCATGGAGTCTGGTTAAGCTAACGGCTGTTAGCTAACAGGTTAGCTAACCTGTTAGCTTTTACTCCGACTCTTCCGTCGTCTAAAGCTACAAACCTGCTCAGATGACCCAGAACAACCAGTCCGAACCGAACACTACTGTGAATCCAGAACCCGATAAAAACATTTCATTTCACACTGAAATGAAGGACATCACGCCGCAGCGAATGACAGGAAGTCCTTTAGAGCGTAAAGAAGCGCTTCCGGTACTTTTAACGACAAAATAAAAGATGTAATTTCAAAATAAAGGATTAATTTTCTTTGAAGGCTCGTGAGATCAACTCAAGTTAATAGTAAAGCTGTTAAAGTTTATATAAATCTCTTTTGAGCATAAACAGAGCAAATTAAGAGCTACAGGTGTGATAATTGAGATTAAATCGATGAAATATTGTCTTATAAAAACTTGTTGTGGAAAATTTACTGCCAGAAATTTTAATTCTCTCTGTTCTTCCTCGTCTGCCTGGAGACAGGTCAGTCCATCACAGGACAGAACTTCAGATTCTCTGGTCTTATTATTGATCAAAATATCAGCTTTAAGAATCTGATTGGTCCAGATGTATAAACACCAATGAGCAGCTTTCAAAGTTCATCTAATCATTAAAGTCGGTTCGGATAAGACCCGTTAGTTCACAGTCAAAGGTCTGATCCCCCATCAGCAGATCTGTATCAGGAACTCTTACTACTCATTAACCAGGGTCACCTGCACAGGTGAGCGCCGGCCGAGCGCCAGGCAGTTGCAGTGAGGCTGAAGATGAGGCTGGAGATCTTCCTCGTGCTCGTGGCGGCGAGCGGCATCGGCGGGAAGCCGCTGAGCAGCCAGGAGGAGAAGACCAAGCTGCTGCTGGTGTCATTCGACGGGTTCAGGTGGGACTACGACCAGGACGTGGACACGCCGCACCTGGACCGCATGGCCATGGACGGGGTCAAGGCCAAATACATCACCCCCCCCATGATGACCATGACATCGCCGTCACACTTCACCACCATCACAGGTCTGGAGCGCCGCCGGACGGCCTTAAGCCAAACGTAATTACAGCAACAATTAGTTATGAAGAAGAAGAAGAGCTTTGTCAGTCCTCCAGGGGGAAACTGACATTTCAGGACAGAGCAACAGAAACCAAACGTGAAGTCCCAGAACGGCTCGGAGGAAATCAGGTTCAGGAACCAGGTTTCGGTTCTTCTGTCAGCCAAACGGTTTCATTAAACCACTGGAAACAAAGCGCTTTGGTCTCAATCCTCCGGAGGCTGTCTGCGCTCCACCTTCTACTAATCTACAAAAATTGGCGTCAAGCGTTTTGGTTTGTGCAGCAAAAATTTTAAAGATATTAATACAAATGTTTCCAGAGGTCAGGAAAGGTCAACCACCCTCAAACTTCTTCAAATCAGACAAAACTGATGTCAAACAACCCGACTGTTTGAGCAGAAAAGGTTGTGTTTGTGCTGCTTTGATGTTTTTTATTAGCATGTTTAAAATGTTAATAAAAAATGAAAATTTTTGCTGCACAAACGTTTGACGTTGAATTTGTTAGATATAAAGAAGGAGCTGGACTCCAGTCTGAAAATGATCCGGTCCTGAAGCGCTGCAGACCAGAAACAGCTTATAGGAAAAGAAATGTAATCTAATCCTGTATTCTTAGATTATTTCTGGATTATTGATCACTGCTTATCAGCGTTATCAGCTGGTTGAGTTCATCTTCCTTCACTAAGTGGAGATTTATGGCTGCATTAGATACAATCAGATGTTTGCTGATCAAAACAGGAAGTGAAGGTTTTCATTTAAATGCGACTCTTTGTTGAATCACTGGATTTTCACCTCAGCAGGCCTGAAAATGTTTAAATGGAGAAACTTTCCGGCTCTATAAGAGTCATACAATTCAGATTCTTGAAAAATATATATTTTTGTGCAGAACAATTTGCTGAAGTATTTGTTTTTGTTTAATGTTGCCACTTATTTAATAAAAAAGGCTATAAAAAGAAGATCAATATGAAATCCATCTTTCTGCAAACGGATTTGATTTAGTTTACAAATCGTTTTATTGACGTCGTCCGTCAGAGACAGAATAAGTTTAGTTGTGAAGAACTTTAAACTCACTGCTTCAGATACAATATTGTGAACATGAGTCAACTGAACTCCAGCAGGGGGCACCATTTGTTGGCTGAAAACTAAAACCTGTGTTACTGGGACTGAACTGGTGTGTTTGGTACCCATGTTGTTTAGTTGCACACAAGTTAAATTTTACATGATCATCATGATGATGAGTCCTTCAGGGGCAGTAAAGAAGCATAATGTTTCAATCCCGGACGAGCCCCCTGTTAGAGATTATGCTGAGTCACAGTGAAAAATGGAGACTGAATACTGATGCAAGTAAATATTTAGTAAGCAAAAAATATTTAAACTAAGCATAAAAATGTGACGCTAAGTAAATCTTTAAATGGCCCAATTTACCTGAATTCAATCTGATCACCACTGCTTCACTGAACAGCCAAATCTGACCACCAGATGGCAGCATTACAGTGGAGCACAGAGTCATTTCAGAATCACAGAGCTAAATGTCTCGTCTCAGGTAGATGGATTGAAGACCACGAAGTTGTCCACAACTTAATGTTCAACGAAACAACAAACCTGAAAGTTCCCTTCAAAGAGACCCTGAAGAGGTCGGAGTGGTGGGACAACGGAGTGCTGCCGCTGTGGATCACGGCTCAGAACCAGGCAAGTCCACGAGCAGCTGGAAACTCAGACCCTGTAGCCCTAAACTCTCACATATTCATGAGAAAACGAACTGAAATGTGACCGAAGAGGAAACTTTGAAAGATATTAGTAACGTTATCACATTTCTTAACCATGTAACTCCTAAAACGGAGGATTTATTTCACAGATTAGTTGAAATAAATACGGTTTTACACCTTTAAGGAGACTTATGAGTCGAAGGTTTTCCAGTCAGTGTCTGATGAAAATGTTCTCCGTAGATGGATTAAAATTTCCCAATTTAATATCTTCAAGCTTTGCAAAACAGAAAACGTTCGAACATTTTACATCATCCTTGACTGTCTAGTCCAGGGTGTCAACATCCAGTCCTGCAGGCCTGCTGTCCTGCAACCTTTAGATGAGTCTCTGCTGCACCTGAATAGAATAATGAGGTCATTAAGGCTCTGGAGAACCAGGAGGAGGGAATGAAGCCGTTTCATTCCTGTTTGGATCTGTGGCTCATCTAAAAGCTGCAGGACAGCTGGAGGACTGGAGTTTGACATCCTGGTCTGGTCTATTAATGTAAGGACTAGACCAGGGTCCTTACGTTGCTTTTTAACTAGCCAGTATTTGCATCCCCTGCCACATGGTTGAGAAACATGATAATGTTACGAATATCTTGTAAAGTTTTCTCATCAATATGAGAGTTTACAGCCAGAGGTCAGGAGTTTCTCAGCATCGGCTCCAAACGACATTAACCAGTGAATCAAACTGATCTCCTTCCTTCAGGGTCTGAAAACCGCTTCGTTCTTCTTCCCGGGAGGGGGCGCCGCCTACGGGGGTCAAAGGGTCAACAGAGTTCGGATGGCGGAGCCCGGCCACCCTTACACCAATGAGACAGAATGGCGTGAGAACATCGACACGGTTCTGAGCTGGTTCTCAGAGGAGGACTTTGACCTGGTGACCCTGTACTACGGCGAGCCGGACTTCGTGGGCCACAACAAGGGGCCGGACCACCCGGACAGGAAGACCGTCATCCAGCAGATCGACCGCACCGTCGGCTACCTGCGCCACGCCATCAGCAGGCACGGCCTGGACGACAGCCTGGACGTCGTCATCACCTCTGATCACGGCATGACCGCCGTCAAGAAGCGGCCGCTGGTGGACGAGATCGTCCTCAACAAGTACCTGAACCTGCTGGAGCTCACCTCCTTCGAGATCCTGGACTACGGCGGCTTCGGCATCGTGACGCCGCGGCCGGGGAAGGACCAGGAGGTTTACGACGCCCTGACCAATGCTCCCAATCTGACCGTCTACAAGAAACAGGACATCCCAGAGAGTTTCCATCTGGGAGAAGCAAGCGGCTGCCGCCCATCGTGGTGGTGGCGGACCTGGGCTTCAACCTGAACTCGGTAAGGCCCAGAGGTTCTGTAAGGCCCAGAGGTTCTGTAAGGCCCAGAGGTTCTGTAAGGACTAGAGGTTCTGTAAGGACTAGAGGTTCTGTAAGGACTAGAGGTTCTGTAAGGCCCAGAGGTTCTGTAAGGCCCAGAGGTTCTGTAAGGATTAGAGGTTCTGTAAGGTCCAGAGGTTCTGTAAGGCCCAGAGGTTCTGTTCTCCTCGGCTTCAGAAAGACTCGTTATCGTCTCTGTTCCCTGAACGATTTCCGATTCATTCATTTTGCTAGTGATGACATTAATGGTCCCTACAAGACGATTCGTTTAGCTGAAGTCCAAACTCCAGCATTTCATCATCGATCTTGAGATTCATCTTTAAATCTGAAGCAGTGGGAAAACCTGCTAATCTGCTAAAAGTAGCAGAATTCGGATTATTTTACAGCAGATTGTAAAGAAATAGTGTAAATTTAGCACCATGACAGTAATGTACAAAAATGGATATTTGTATTTAATTACAAGTAAAATATGCAATTTCGCCGTAACGACCACGATGCCAAAGCTTTAATCCCAGATTGAACGTCAAACAGCTGGAGGTGATGGAGACGCCATCTTCCTGCAGTTCATCATTAAATACGCAGAAACAAACCAACGCCAGCTGGCGAGCTAGCAAGGCTTCATTAGCAGGTAGTTAGCGGTAGCCTCAACGGCAGAATGCAATGAAATGCAGGTTCTGGTTGCAGAGCAGCTGAGGTCAAAGGTCACGCTGCCTCTCTGTTTCTCAGAGGTTCATCGTCTACGTGAACAAAGGCGACCACGGCTTCCACAACGGGGAGATGGACATGAAGACCATCTTCCGGGCCGTCGGACCGAGCTTCAAGCAGAACTTTGTGTCCGACCCGTTCGACAGCATCCACATCTACCCGCTGCTCTGCAGGCTGCTGCGCATCCAGCCGGCGCCGCACAACGGGTCGTGGGGGTCACCGAGGTCATGCTGCGGGCTGCAGGTGAGTCTGCTCCGGCCCACTAGAACCACAACCAGAACCAGAACCACAGATTAACCCGGGTTTGTCTGCAGGGGAATCCCAGAGGTCCGGTCTGTCTGCCACTCTGCTGCTGAGCGTC